GGATACTTATTTTTTTTTAATTATAATTTCAGAAATAAGTCAAATTTAATTATTTTATACAAATCATCAGATATGACAAAATACAGTTGTATTTTATCTTTACATTCGCTCAATAAATAGTTACAAACAAACAACAATGGTAAACAGAAATAATGTACCATTTGCTTCGACGACAGTTTGGCAAACTTTTTTACCTCACTATAAAGGACAGGAATATTATTAAATCGAATGTATGTATACATGTATTTAGTATACAGTAGAAAAATTTACGAAATCTTTAGTGTTAATTCATTTATTATAATTAGATTCATTAATAGGGTTTCGAAATCTTTTTTCCTGCATACAATTTTAATATTACATTTTATATAAATTTATTAATCATTCTGTTACATTCTGCACTTATTTTGTAATCGATATAACGATTGAACATCTTTTCAAGATAGTATTCAACCTGAAAAATTGAACCTTTTTTCAAATAATCTATCTCTATATCATCATTATCATCATGTTAGCCGTTAACTGTCCCCTTAGTCCCCTACTGAACATATGCCTTCCCCTTTAGGGAATTATCACGCTTGGCAGGCGATTAAATTTGGTGATTTTATTTGATTTGACGCTGCTGTCTATCCCTCGGCCATTAAATTCTTATAACACCCACCCATTCTATGTCGAAACCACACGGTTAGGCTATATAGCCTATCATACTAAAATTGTACATCTGTTAAGTTAGTATGGGAAACTCTACATTTCATGTCGTTTTTCGACCCAGAAAAGGATGTTAATGATTTTGATGGCAGCCCATATAGCATATTTATACATACGTATATAAAATCCTATATTTACCATACTAAATAGGCCATCCATTTCGTGATCCGACCTCGTTTGGTATCGCTAACTATTGTCGCTTCGGTGATACTTGGAAACTTGCGAATAGTCAGTCGTTTTATTAAGAAACTCAATTTGTAGCTATGAAAGTTGATATTACAGAGGGACGCACCGTTTAACCAGTAGTAAACTTTTAAGGGTATACATGATTAAATAGTTAAATTATTTATATGTTTTTTTTTTTTTTTTTGTTGCAGATACATGTTGGTCTCGTTAAATTCATATAAAAGTCATAAGTAAAGTTACTGATTTTTTTCTTTAGTTTCATATTAAGATTTTTAAAAAAGATTTTGTGATAATTCCGACTATGTTATAGGTATAGATCTCGGATTCTACCATGAAATGAAATTCTGAATTTTGGACTCAATTACATGTTATTGTTCATACCAAAATCGGTCAAATAAATGAAGCTTAACATTTCGTTCGTCATAAATCCTACCATAAAAATCCAAAGCAACGTTATTAACATTTTAAATATTTATAAATGGTATGTTAATTGTAATTTTAGCATGAAATTAGTACTTTGTTCAACCCCGAAATTTTGGAAAACATTTCATGATATGCCCTCAATTGGCATATCGTGACAAATTCACTAGGAATCAACCATAATCGTTTGCAAGGGAAACCGCATAGAGGTCAACCTGTCTATGCAACAAATTCAAAATCAATTAAAATTAAAAACAATGAGCAATGAAAAAATCAATAAAACAATTATTTCACGTATTGTATGAGAGGTATATAGAGCTAACACAAAACATTGAAGCATCTGTTTTGAAAACAATGCAGCAAATGGAAAAATCGTAAACCGTAAGAACGTTTAGTGGTAAACTGCTACATTTAACATCAAAGCGAATAATGGCCTGGAGGATATGTGTACTGTTTTTCTCAACCTTTTTCGTAAACGGACTATATTTCAGGACGCCATGTTTGTATTTTGCAAATAAGTGTAAGTATATTTTATAATATTAACTTTATTACTTTTGTATGTAGTGTACGAAGTTACTCTGGCATTATATTTAAATACCTTTACTTAAATTGTTTTATACTGGTAACTTTCTTTAGAAGTTATCTAGGTAAATAGAGTATAAAAATAAGTGATATTCATTGGGGAATAACATAATTTATATAAGTCAATAGTTAAGGAAACACCGTATCCTAGCGTGGTCCCTTGAGTACTTATAGTAGATTTCCCAAGTCACAAATTAGACGAAATACACCCCATAAGTTATTGTTAAGAGTGTTCATTCAATTTCATCAAGAGTAACAATATATACCTATTTATAATGTAAAAATAATCTCTCGTATTGAAATGTAGGTTATGTATACTACAAATATATTTAAAAAAAGAATATCCCCTAGCTACGGTATTACCACAGTATATAGAACTACTCTTATACTGTGGTATTAGTTGATATGAAACAATTATTGCGACTACCACGTTTATTAATATTCCAATTTGAAGATTGAAGATAAGAGTTTATCACTGAAATTACTGAGTACTGCAACTATTAATCTTAGATTAACGCCACATTCTGAGTAGGTATCTGGCATATATCATACATTTAAAGCTTCATAAATAACAATCGCTTTATATCGTTTCAAGCTATCACTATGAAGTTCAACAGTCAATATAAAATATGCAATCAAATTTGAATGTGGTTGCTACATTTAGTTACTAATCTTCAGCGACACTGAATGCTGAATGTAGCGCTTGCTATAAATAGGATTTGGTATTGCACGCATTCTTATACGGTAACCACTTACCATTAAAATAAAACCTACTTTTATTTATGTCGCATGCAATTTTCTTTTCAGGCGTTTCTCACTGTCCTCGTAATATGCACCCTTACCATACGCGATGCGACAAAGATACATTATCTCAGCGCACGTGTGACCATCCAGAAATTAATATTCTTGGTGCGTATAGGAATTTTTGGTGGACTTGTATTCCTTTTGGAATATTATTAAGTTGATGCAAGACCCGATACGGATGGTGAAGACCTTTTTTTAGGAAGCCATCATACAAATATCGAATCCGATATAAGCAACATTGATTAGAAACTCACACCTGATGTGAGCGACATTATAATATGTGATTTAGAAAAAATCATATGAGCAGTAACGGTTTTACCATCAGGCTGAGAAGGCTGAAGCCTAGGGCGGCAGATTTTAAGGGCGCAAATTTGGGGCCAACATTTTTTTATATTATAAAATATCAATTTTATTGTCAAAAAAATTTTAATTAATATGACTGTAAAATAGGGCATGGAATTTTAAAAGTTATTCGAGACGTCAAAACTTAATTACTCTAGTGTAAGTATGAGGTACTTTAATGAGAGCAATAAAAATTCAAACAATAAATTTAAGAGCTTTTTGTCTGTTTGTCTGTATATTTGTTCCGGCAACATACAAAACCTACAGCAGGAAATTGGATGCGTTTTATTTTAATATACCATCTATAAGTGGTCATCTACTTCCAAAACCCACGCGTTCAAAGTTGCGGGGTAAAGCTAATAAAATATAATAATTAACTTTAGGTCACACCTGCGGTTGGTCCCGTTGTGATTGCAACGGTGACTTACTCCTGGACGAGATAAAGAATATTTGTGTCGACTTCAAGACGTGCCAGCAAAACTTCAAAGGCAAAATCCGGGACAGGACACGGAACAAGGCTTCCAGGAAATCAAAGAGAGTGAGACTCCCACAAAATAAGGAACTTTTTGAAGAAAAATAAAAAAGTGAATTTTGAAAATTCTAATAAAATATATTATGAAAACAAATAAAAAAAATCTGTTCTCCTGTTATTTATTATATATTATAAATTTGTAGGGAAAAAAATTCTCGCTCATAATTATGGTCCTACCCTTAAACATCTCATTTTCTTGAGTCGGCCTAAAATGTTTTAACTTTTTTATCGTCTTCCATCAACACTCATGCCATCACTCAGCTTTGGTGGCATTATTTTATAGCTAAGAGTAGACATTTGGTGTGATTAAATTTGGAAAGTTATTTTTAACTTTGGGATCTGTAAGATAGGAGAATAAGATAAGAGAAGCAAGCTAATTGCTTCATCTCTTATATTTATTGTGCTAAGCAAAAGCCAACATATATCAATCACATATTCTTATAGGTACCTACCTATAACGATAGAAGTAACTCATACCTTTTATAACATCTACTGTACTTTGCTAAATTTCGATCAGCGTAAGCATAGCAGTTTACGTGAGGAAAATAGTTCAATTGTTATTATAATATTGGGTTATTCTTGTTACTATCTACGAGATTACGAAAGAAAGGGATTGTTAGTTAATTAGCGCCTTTATTACTAGCAATATAACCCTGTGAGGTTAAGTTCCACGCGACCGCTTGGAATTCACCGTGAATTTGGTTCGATCGTCCAAGTGACCTGACTTTATTTTCACATATCATCTCTCAATGCCAGCGTAACCTAATAAAATATACAATAGGATTAGTATTCAATTTCAAGCCATAAAAAATTACGCCCTAATTTCAATAGACTTAACTAATATTTAAACTTACAAAAGAACTGTGCCTATGTACGAGGCAAGTTTTATAAGATTAAAATATAATTAAAGTGAAAATAACACTACTTGGTAAATATCGACGAGTAGATTTTAGCAACGTTGATTGTGATAGTGTAGTAGGTTCATAGATATTCAGAATTAGAGACCACTGAATAATTATTAATACTTAATAAATATTTATTCTTAATTGTCAATTCCAAATAATATCTTCATATAACGAAATGGATATAATACAAAAACATAGCATTAAATTTATTTATCTACTTTTATGATAGATACAGTAATTTATTAAGTAGATGCCTTCTAAATATCCCAAAGGATGTCCACCCATCTATATATAGATATAATAATCACCTGTGGACGTATACGTCCACAGGTGATTATTTTCGTTCCTAATGTTTACTTCCCGAAATAAGCTAATATTTCCTGCGATTACAGGAAAATTATAAAATTATTTTAATTTTAAATTATTATGAAAAATCATTCAGGTAAATACATCATTGCAGGGTTAGATTCTCTTGTATTTTTGCATTGGTTAATATACATTTGTGTTATTTTATTTATAGTTATTTTACGAACACTGAGATTTACAAAAAAAAAAAAATACAAAACAGGATATGAACAGTGTTGTTACTGGCATAGTACTAAACAACTCGAGACTAAAGACTTCAAACTACGTAAACAAATTCAATCATTTCAGTAAAAAGACGAGCGCGCTATAGACAATGCAGCATACGGTACTGTTCCTATGTTTTGTGAAAGTTATTGAAACTATGTACTATGCAAAAATAGGGAAACCAGGCTGCCTATTGTACAACGGAAGTTGTAAGTAGTGAGTTTTTACAAAAGTAAAGGAACAATTTTCAAGGAGTGTAAATAATTGTAAAATGTATCTAATAAATATTTACTAGATAGGCAGATAACCATTTGCTAACGCGAGATGGATTCCATATCTTCCCCTAAACTCTATAACCAACAGTATTATTACTCTATCTATGCTTGAACATAGTAGATAACACTTGGTGCCATTATTCTAGATGATATATAACCGCTACAGACAAATGCTGTGTATTAAATTAGAACTTTCAACTGCAGGTACGAGTACTATGCTTGGTCTATGAACCCTCATGTAAAGGTGTGACGAGAAATTAGAATTATTTTGTTTAAATCCACTACCATTAATATATATGTGACTGCCAACACTCGAAGATTGACCACCACTATTACTACTAGATGTTCCAGAATCTTCCATGTTAGCCATCAATCTACAACTGCTATATGTTCATGCACTTTTTGCGACACGTGTTTCACCTCTAAACGTGGCATCTTCAGGCAAATTATTAGATCGCTTCTCGGAGCCAAATGTTAACCGTTCGACTGCGAATTGCCTTTCCAAATGTTTTAAACGGGTAATGAACGTAAATGACTCAGGATACATTTTATACCGACATACGATAATGGTACACCTGTTTAGTCTAAATGATGAATAGATTGACATAACGATAACGAATATCATAAAGATTTATGCGCGTGCTCTATTTGACTTATCGCAGTAAGGAATCTTAATTGAGAAACGAGCTATTGGTTTGATTAACTGGCATACTGCCAAATGATCTCATATGACCCTATAACTCAATTTACAGGCGTTCAGGAATGCCCGGAAAATATGCACCGTTTTAACAGCGAGTGCCGTCCGACACCGTCGCAGAGGACTTGCGACGAACCTGTAGCAATATCTATGGGCACAATATGCGATTGGTCGCGCTGCGATTGCGATTTCCCCTTCGTACTACACCCGCCGTCGGGTTATTGCTTCGCTTACGAAGATTGTCCCTGATACGTTTTCTGATTGAATTTTCTCGTTATCGGCAAAATATTGGTGTGTGGAGAATTCACTAGATATATGAAATAAATATGATTTAAACGCAATCCTGTTTTGTTATTGGATATTAAACCTTGTTTAGAACCGATTTGAATAAATAAACATTTAAAGTTTAACATAGTTCTGGTAGTACTATTACATTTCTCCCATCTTATTCCCTTTACTAAGCCTGGTATATATTTCACTAATATAATAAAATTGTAACTAAACGATGCACAAGGGTTGGTTAGTATGTTATATGTTGTTGTATTAGCCTTTAACTGTACAATGCTGAACATAGCCTCTCCCATAAAGGAGGTTTTGCCAATAGTTACCATGCTTGGCAGACGGAGTGGCTAACGCAGTTTGACTTTTGGTGGTATTTTAAGAGGTGCTGCCCATCCCTCCACCATAAGCTCCTTTAGTCGCCTTTTACAACACCCACGGGAAAGGAAGGGGTGACCTATTCTATGCTGGGACCTACACGGTCTGGTATTCAGATACTAAAAAATAATTAATATCTCGCTCTCTTTATTCGTACACTCTTGACGGAGCGATCATAGGTTACATGAGTACAGTGGATTGTCGATGATACTTTTCTTGTTGTATAATTGATATAAGGGGTCTGAGTAAGAGCAAAAAAGCTAAAACGATATTTTTTTGAAATTATGTCTATATGTTTGTTCCGGCATCACGCAGATGTGACTTTTAAAATTCTGTTCCTGAAGGTCTAACTTAAAATCTGGTATATATTACCTTGACACACCAATTAGAATCATTATATTTTATTGGTTCTTCTACTTCTGAAATTCACTCGTACGAAGCAAAGGACAAAAAGCTAATAATTTATAATAAGACTAGCCGCCCGTCCCGGCTTTGCATATTGGTGGTGGATATTTTTACAACATTTTAAAAAGTGGTTATTGTAACATAACAATATTAGTTGGATATATAGTATCGCGAAGTTATTGTAATTATTGATATTTTCTTCAATATTGTAGAACATACTTTTATTCTATCACCAATAGTTTCCGCAGCGCACGCGACGAAAGATATTTTATAGCATCTTTTTACACCTTGAGTTACGTTACTAAAGTTTTAGTAAGGATTCCTAATCTTTTCTAGCAATAAATATAGCCTATAGGCGAATGTAGCTTTCTAATGGTGAAAGAATTTTTGAAATCAGCAAAGTAGTTTTTGAGTTTATTCATTATAAACATACATACACACAAAAATACAAATCTTTCCTCTTTATAATATTAGTGTAGATATATAATGGTGTAGATATGTAATATATAATAAGATGTAAGATTGCCCACATTGCAACGAACATATTGGAATACACCATCACATAAACTTGGTATGATAACGACATTATCGTTGTCGTGAAACTTGTTGGAATTCAAATCGAAATAACTTTGTATTGTCCATTTGAACTAAGGTTCATTTAACTTGAACTGAACTGAATCGAAAATAAAGATCGAGGTAGTAAACCACGACGAACGCTAAAATAATGATAAACACAAACATTTTGATGTTAAATGTAACGGAATACGCGTTTTTGATATTTTTTTTACAAACTAGTACATGTTAAAAAGAGAACGATCTTAATGTTTTTTTTTCTTTTTTTTTTCAGATATACCGGACATTGTCCTATGTTAAAATTTCGCTTCGGCAAATGCTACGGTGACAATACAAGACAAATTCTACGGGAAATACGCTCAAAAGGATTATTCAAGTAAGATTTTAAGTCTTACATAACTTATGGTGACCTTCAGACTCAAAATGTGTAGGTATAAAAAATTAATTATAATTACGTGGTTACTACCTCAGATTGGTATTATCAACCTTAGATTAAGAAGTCTATAAATACGTCTAAGTCTATTTTAATTATACAATTATGTAACTATTCACATGAATAACTAATCACTAATCGAAACTATATGTGGTTGCATTTGTTTTATTACAAAATCCTATTTCTTTTTATAAACAACGATCGCTTGTTATTATGGACAAGAATCACTTTTACCGTTCATTTCTGTACTTTTAAATTATGTTGGCCAATAAATATCTTCTATTCTATTCTATGACTACCAACTTAGTCTATGTATCATCTTATCGTCGTCTATATCGCAAATATGTCCTTCTATATATTCTTGAGTCTCAAATTATCTCAATTTCGGTTCAGTAAATTCATTTAGTCGTTATTTCTTAGCGACTATTTTCAATTCCGTCCAAACCGCCTGTCCAACGTGGTAATAGTATGTTGAATCCTTCTTTATGACGAGAAATTTATACCCAGCTGTGGACTTGTTAAGAAGAATAAATAACAATGAGGTACTCATATTTTACCCTGTCTCACCAATACAGAAAGAACAACACAGTACTAATGAATCCCATGGCAAGGGACAGATTGTCAAAATTTATATAATTTGGCTCCTTACAAATACCTAAAGCGGTCGCGGTAGATCTCGTATGCGATCAAGAAACAATATAGACCGATTCAAGGATAACTGGTAAACTAGTACCATAAAAAGTAGAAGCAGTTGGAGGAAGCCTTTTGCCTTTTTATAATGGGATAACACTTTTAATCTAATATTTCAATTTCAACCCACAGCAAGCCTTTAGAGTATCGGCCGGGAGACAACTACGAGCTGGAGAATATGCCGCGTCACCGCAACCCTCAAGAGGACGTGTACGACGGGCTGCACAACCGACAGACGGCATACATGACCGGCTACACGGGATACGTGCCCGGTATGAACTTCAGGTTAGAATTGACAATTCGTTCGTTCTGAATGGTTTATCTAAGAAGCCTGAAACTCAAAAGAGATGCCGGACCATGGAGTTTAAAATGTGTGCATCTATGTAGGCTTTAACTCTTATTGCATGTTTTTTTTATTGGTGAAATAAATCAAGGTGATATAATTCATGTTCAAAATTAAAGGAAAAAATAGTTAAAAAATAAATTTGACAGCGATGTTTTTTTTCTGCAATGGACATTAAAAGGTATCCAGACACGATCAACTTAAAGTGAACTTGTTTTTTTAAATAATTTTTGGGCACTCAATGTTATGATGGAAATTTCCACCATTATACAAAGATAAAGGAAATAGGAATAGTAATACGCATAAAAGCTCTGATTACCTTTCCTTCCTTCTTTGCACACACACATACATAAATCAATTCATACAAGTTATTTGATTATTTTGTTTAATTTCGCTACCACTAGTATGTGTGTGACTGCCAACACTCGAAGACTAACTACCATCATTACTACCAGAAGTTCTACAACCTTCCATATTAGCTCTCAATCTCCGACTGCCATTTCGTCCACGCACGTTTTGCAGTACATGTTTCACCGCTAAACAAGGCACCTTCAGGCAAATTATTAAATCGCAGTTTGGAGTTTAGTATTAATTATTCGGCACGTAAACTGCGAAATCAAAAAACACCAAACGAACGAATATAACACCTATTTCAGTAAAAGATTTATACAAGCTCTTCGTTTATTTCTTTTTTTAAGCAACTCGAAATGGTAAACAAACTGACCTAATTAAAACTGTTTAACTTAACCTCTTAACATGAACTTGCAGCTTTTTAGTACATAATGTACTCATACGTCCGTCTAATACCGTTCCTACCAACATGTTTACATGTGTATGTTCATTCGTGCTCGATATTAATCCCTTTCATTTCTCTTTTTAAACCAATGTGGTTTACTTTAAATAGAAAGATTTTTTTTGTGAAATATTTTGATTCATTTCAGATATGGCAAATCCTATGGCCGTTCGGCCGACGATTGTATGGCGGACTTCACAGAAAGACAGAGGGAGATGAGACGCAAGACAGATTTGAACAAAACCTATGCCAGGTCACGGAGTGCTCCCAAAATGGAAACCATTCACTCTAGAGACGAAATAAGACGTGATCTTAGCAGATTTAGAGAAATCAATAAATACAAAGGTTTGTCTATTCCAGACTAGCTTTTGCCCACTAATTCGTACGCGTAGATTTTAGAAGTAGGAAAATCAATTAAATCCTTAGACCAATTCCAGATGGCATATCAAAATAAAGAAATACACCAGTTTTTAAGTTAGATCTTCATAAATATAACTATACAAACTGCATTCAATTTATTGCAGTAGTTAGTAATACAAAAAAATGTAGACCAAAAACAGACAGACAGACATTAATAAAAAATATTCTTTTGGCTTGTTAAATATCTCTTATGTACAGATATCATCAAGTTACCATTTTATTATATTACTAAGATGTAAGGAAACTAAAAAAAGCGGGATCTCGACAACAGCGGCAAATTTAATCAAATTCATTGCATTAAAATTCTCCTATAGTATAAGTATATATTATAAGTAGAGGTGGGGAATACCATAATATGTAGGAATATATATATATATATATACCTAGGTATATGATGCTCCAATAACGAATATGTTTCTGTAATCCAAAAAATAATATTCGATAACAGACTTTTAACATATTCGAAAATAGATATCCGACCGATATGGGCGATATCGAAATTGGTTATGACCTTTTTTCCGCCATCAATATCCAGAGGAACCCGATCTGATGTGTATATATTATACATATCAGATCGGTATACATATTACCCATGCCTAATTATTAGGTAATCAATATTTCTTTAGTATATTTTGTTATATCTTTACTATTATAATTACAGATAATACAATATCACCAGAATTCCCACCAATCGCTGGATACACCGGCCATATCCCACGCATTAAAGGAACCGAGGCGTCCCTTAGCCAACGGTATCACTGCGCAGCCAAACGTGGTTTGGAACTTATTAAAATGGAGAAAGAGAAAAGGAAAGAGTTGCAAAATGCCAATACTAATATTAGATCCATCTTAAAAGACCACGAAAAGAAATACTCCTATTGGAATTGGGGATAGCATACAGGCAGAAGGATGTTCTTTACTAAATGTAGATGAGCATTCTTCTTTAAAACCAAACTAAGTACATGCAATTTTAGAATCTGAGTGGCCAGTGTGAACGTGAGGACCATAGATTTATTATTATAATAAGAACGACTGCGTTCGCGTTTGTATTTAGAATTTGTACTCAGCTGCGCCTCTAGCGGATGGTTTCCGAAACTCTGATATCCATATAAAATATAGTATGACGTTCTACAAACGTAAACGCAATTGTAAATCTTCAACACACATTAGCCACTCAGTGCAATCAGACGGAGTGGCAGCGATGAATAATGTGACCTACACAGGAATTTATAAAAAAAGAAAATACATCGCAAGCTATATGTATATGTGTTCAGACAGACATCGAGGGGAATTGTTTTATAATATGGAGACAATCGTGTTCAGTTACGAGCTTCTAAGACTTTTACAAATTACAGTAGTATTTTCAAAACTAGCTTAAATAGATTGTTTAATGAAAAGAAATGAGACTTCATTTCGTTAGTCGTGACCTTTAACAAATCAGTATTTAAATGTTTATTATCCATAACAGAAGTTAGAACATTGCAATTTATGACCAATTATTACTACATTATATGATTTGTTGATTATTGATGAATAAAAAGTATTCATGCCTGAATCTGAGAATTAAATTTCATTCTAATAATTTTTACTCAAAGAGACTTGTTTACAAGCACTTTTAAATAGTATTTTTTTTTAATATACTACTGGGTTCGAAAAGTCGTTATTACAAAACGCTTCAACTGTATAAGAGTAAGGTAGAGTAACAAATAACAAAAAAACCTTTAAATAAAAATCATTTATAATATTAATACCTAGGATAAATTGCAATGTTTTAAATAAGGAATTGGAATTGTTAAAATATTGATAATAGTTAAAAACTTATTTAGTTTATTTTTTTACATTGATTTGGATGTAATTTAATAAATCGTTATAACAAGAGAAATATAGTAAATATAGATAGTAAGTAACGTAATACGTAGTTATTTATTGTGTTTATTTGTTAATCATATCCGCCTTTAAACGTCCACTGCTGAACACAAGCCTCCCCCTCTTAGGAAGTTTTATTAGTAGTTGCCACGCTGTTCAGACGGATTGATAAACGCAGTTAGGCTTTGTATATATTTTAAGAGGGATGCTGCTGCTATCCTTCGCCCTCCCTTAGTCACCCACTCTTACGACACCCACGGGAAAGGAAGGGGTGGCCTATTCTATGCTGGGACCATACATCTTTTTGCTAATAGTAGTAATTAATAATAGTAGATGGTTTCGGGCTGTTCCTTATAGCTTAGTCTGTAGGAAGGTCTATGTCCAGCAGTGGACAATTAACGACTGATATGATAATTTGCTAATAAACTTAATTATTAAGAATTATATGTATGTAGATAATTGTTGTCTTCGTGTAGTTATCGAAATAAGTACGTTATCGTTCACTTAAAATGGGTTTGATCGTGAAGAAAAAAAACAAATCGACGAAACAATGAAATAGTTCATTATACGTTACATTCGAATTGCAAAACACAATTGCAAAATTGTAGTTCTTGCTTCACAACAAGCAGTTTTTTCTTCGCAAAGAAATGAGGTTCAGTTTTGATACAAATTAATATGAAGCCAACACGCGAATCGAGTAAATCCGGTCGATTGTTAAAAAAAAATTTCAATCGACGCCCCTGGTTTTGTAGGCGTCCATAGACCGTTTACCATCAGACGGGCTGCATATTTATTTGTCATCTTCGTAGACTTTGTACAAAAGTCGATTGCTTGGGTACCTCTGTCCCATTCGTGTTTCAACCGTGAAGCAGTTGTGTTTGAATGGCTATGTTTCGATTTGAAGGGTGGGATATGGCGTGAATTTACTGGGTACAGAGGAACAACACCTGAGTCCTCAGGAATGGCAACGTATGGGGGGTATCATGGGCGAAACAGTATGCTCTGTTATGTCCATGGTACTACTCATGTCTATAGGCGATGGTTATCACTTTCCATCAGGTGGGCCGTCAGCTTGTTTGCCATTCTAAGTTGTATAAAAAAAAAGTAAATCATAATCCGTTCAGTATTAGTAATGTAATCCTTTATTATAAGTTACAAAAACCTGAGACGATTTGAGAATCACTTTCTTTTAGAAAAATCAATTAAATTGACCAATTCTTTATGACATATGAAGATAAAACATATATAATAAATTTTAAGTTTTTTTTTTTATACCACTGAGGTGGCAAACAAGCATACGGTCAACCTAATGGTATGCGGTTACCATAACCTATGAACACATTTTTTACTATTTTGGCGCTTACTGCGCGGTTTTTTCAAAAGGTAACGCATAATATATCGTAATGCATACAATTTTCGGCCCTTTGAGGCAGCTGCCCTTCCCCTCTCCTGGGTACGCCCATACAATTGTAAAAACTGCAAACAATGTGTATAGATTTTTATTATTATTGTTTATTAGTATTATTTCGAGGTGAATTTCCATATTTTAAGCGGATTTTTGCTCAAGCAAAAAGTATTTGTCGATAAAATATGTTCCTTTACTTATAAATTAATATTTCAAATCGGTTTGCATTAATCAAAGATAACGTCCACAGATTAAGAATAATTTTTCTAGTGGGAGAGTTTGTAAAAACCGTTTGCATGGATACCTCTATCTTATTCGTATTTCTGCTATGAAGGAGGCGTTCTTGCATGGCTGTTTCCGTTTAAAGAATGGAGTATGGCAGTGAAATTACACGGTACGAAGGCATCAAACCATAGTCCTGAGCAATGGAGTTCTATGAATATCAGTGTATTATATCACGTCCATGATATCTACATTTTAAAAGCGACACTTACCTTATCCCTCAATTAGGTAGAGCCGTCAGCTCGTTTACTATTCTAAGCATCATAAAAATTAATAATTCTCTTTCTAACCTACACAAGTAGATAGTCGAATTGAGAACTTGCTTTGTTTTGTAAATTAAAACGACAACTTTTGTACTAAAGACCATCGGTCGAGCATTCAAAGAGTATTTAAATCATACTTCCAATTTGTCAATGCTTTCAGTGCATATCTGGAGTCTGTTTCATTGATAAAATGTATCGATAATCCAATAGAAACATTTAAATTTCTTATGATAAAACAACCCCAGGTTGAAACAGTATAAGCAATTAATTTGTATTATAAACTTTATTTAATAAACAATCTAATGGTGGATCTTAATGTTAGCACAGACAACCAAAGTATTAAAAAAATACAAAAACGTTTATTAATCCCTCTCATATGTTTTGCACAGCATTCAGTTGCCTCAAAACACCGATTCATTTCGTATTCGAGTGCACTATTCCTTCAAATTTCATCTCTAAAATTATAATTTTAGGAATGAAATTTGGTTACAAAGTTAAAACCGATGTTACGTACTACTGACAACTAAGCTAGTTCTGACTCTATTTTTTTTTTAATCCCGTGTTATATTTCAATGAAATTTTGTAAATATTTATTGCTTGCTCCAACTTGAGAAATAGGACAATTTCTGGTTCAATTAGTTGGTCTATAAATTAATAATTTCCCTGTCTGTCTGCTTGTCAAACTAACATTTTAATTTTAAGACTCGAGTACTAGCGCATTAAAGTCGTTAACTTTGAAAGTCTAATATTTATGTACATTTATAAAAAATACGTAATTAAATAGTGAACAAATGCTTGCCAATTAGTGATCCGAGTGTAGCATTGGTCGATTACTGTATATTGTGTATATATTGCAACACGAAATTACAACAATAAAATGTATAGTAGACATAAATTTATTTGTTATAGCAATAATAAGAGGAACAATTAAATAGGTTGGAGCGGCTACAGAATTTATGCATACGTTTTATTTATGGACTTAGAAAATACGATCATGTCTCCTCTTACAGAAGCATATTAAAATGGCTCCCAATTCGTCAACGTCGTGATTTTCATCTTTTATCTTTCCTGTATTCTGTACTGTATAATTCTTCCTCTCCATCTTATCTTTGTGAACGTTTCACTTTCCTTGACCCCACTGGCATGTCCAGTAGGTCGAGTAAATCCCTTATTCTTAAAATCCCTCCTCATACCTCCTCATGCTATAGTGGATCATTTACGGTTCATGCGGCTAGACTATGGAACTCTCTTCCACTGCATATTCGTGAAAGTCAATCGCTGAATATATTCAAGAGCAGATTAAAAGAGCATCTTCTGTCCTCATAAACTTATTATGTCTATGTATGTATATGTACCTATTTTTTTGTATGTAAAGAGATATTTTATGTCTATGTATATATGTATATGTATACAGATATGTATTTATTTTGATTTTAATTGTATGAGTTATTTATGTAGTCAACATATTTCATATGTTTTAATAGAAACATCAATAATGTTTCCTTCTATTATTGTACGCATACTGCCCGCTAATAAATAATTAATGCTCCTTTCCACTCAGGGTTTGCTGGAAGAGAACTCTTACAGAGTAAGCTTATTGTACACCTTTATTTTATATATATTATATGTAATATTTTTTTTGTGTACAATAAAGAATAAATAAAAATAAATAAATTAGATAATAAAATACTGTTTTATTAATATAATAATTCGTTGTTTTATTTAAATTAATACAAAATATATTTTTAAACATTTAATTAAAGCTATACATTATAAATATATAAAAATAATTTCTTTTTTTCTAACTTTTATACTACTATATTTAATTATGTGACTTCACGTCATATTTTAATAGAAGAATAAAAATATTTTAAAACCTACTTATATACTTAACCCTTTTAATAAAAATTAATACCTCTTATAAACTTATTTTTCTAAACGCTGTTTCGTTAATTTTGAATTAAGAATTCAGCTCAAAAGAATTAAAACAAAACACTTCAATTGCTGAAATATGTTCACTAGAGGTTTTAATTTTTATCAAATAGATTATACCTATATAGAAAAATAATAATTGCCATGTTGTACATGATTGTGTTAAATTATTGTTATAAGTAAATATATCAATCTAAGGCACATTAGAAAATCTCATCACAATGGATACAGTCTGAAATTAGTACTGGTAGAGAAACTGTTTTAAAATCCAGTATATATATATATATATATATATATATATATATATATTGATTGATTAATTGAAGAAACAATGGATGAAGGTGATATGTCGCATTTTCGGGTTTTCACTATTACATACTGCTTACTTTAGATGTAATAATTATATGATAACACTCTCAATAGTTAGTAGGAACATTTTATTCTCGTATGTGGCAATAAATGAATTATTGGAGGTAGAAAGAAAAAGTCTGTTCTTAAAACAGAAATATAAAATTTTTTATTGTTGTTGTTTTTTAAATATTTAAAAGGTGAAGAATTGAATTCCACAATGGAGCATATCGGAGTTTAATATTGTTGTTATTTCCAATATAAATTAAGTCAGTTGTTGTGTCGATAAAAGGACACTTCAAAATTCAAACATCTATAGTAGAACTCAAAATCGAAACCCTTAGTGCTTATAACATTTAAGAAGTAATCTCAGGTAACTTTAGCATGTTTTAGGGAACTGAGCGACCTGAGTATATTATAAGTCAGTTAAAGTTCGCACCTCAAAAGATAGTTTGAACATTGTTTAAATCTAGATAGGGACTTTTGTAACAGTTTATAGATATCGCATTTTCGTGTCGAATTTATTTTGAAACCTTGTCATACATACAGTCCACTGAATCATATTCTCGCACACATACATTAATTAATGGAAGTATTATGTGCATATTAACACCTATAAGTTATTGTAATCAAGTAAAAGTTATGTTAATACGCGTACAGCAACTCCAAACACTTCCATCCATTCATAGAATAACGAAAATCAGAAAATCTACATATCACCTTCAAACATTCCATGTCTTTAATTATCAAAATTTCTTTAATTATCAAAATTTCTTTAAACTCCATTAAATTCAACCATCTTACCAGATCTTTGATCAACGCCATCTATTATTACTCCTTTTTCATCATCTTCAGTAGACGTGTTGGAGAGACTTGGTTTAATATTTACTCTATCACTGTTAATGTCAATAACATCCGATTTACCATTATTCAAATCATGTTTTTTATCACTGGCAAGTTCAAGCATTAATGTTTCAAGTTTTTGTGCTTTCCTCGTTTCGTTGTGAGTAATTAAGGCACATAAATGTTCTGTGAGCAATTCTTTTTTCTCCCTTTCCTTTTGTAAGTTTATTTTTGCCTGCAGGAATTCTTTTTCCACTTTAAAATATTGTTTTCTGAAAAATAAATATACTTTCTGTTAAGAAATGAACTGTAGATTATATTGACATTACAAATTTATATAGATAAATTTAAAAAGTTTTTCAAAATATCTTTAGACATTAATAAAATGACATGGCAATAGGTGAGCCTACAGTCGTTTCTCGGCTCTAAATAATTAACGACTAGCTTTTTTAACGCAACTTCGGATGCTAGATTTCAAATGTAGAAAAACCAATAAAATAAATACCGGCGGCAAGCTATAACCGTTTACCATCAGACGGACTGTATGCTTATTTGCCAGCTTCGTGATATAAAATAAAAGTAGAAAATTAGTGTCAACTTACTCAGCCTCCGAATAACTTAGACAAGCCTGATCAATTTTCTTTCTCAGCACACTGACATCTTGAGAGAATTGTCCATCTAATATTTGAAGTTCCTTTTTAATCTTTTCTAACCTTACCACCTCTTCTTCTGTTTGTTTTGTCCTGAAATATAAACAAAAAATCAAACAATATAGGAACCAAACCATTCATAAATAGCCTAAAAACATCACAAAACCTATATACCATATTGGTTTGGTGATAAGATTAAAAAATTTACTGTATTTGGAAAACTCAACCATACTTTATACATACATGAAAAAGTAATACTTTATATACAATAGTGAGCATGCCGAATTCTGATAGAATGATAAAAATCAATACATTCAATTGATAAGATTGATAAGCACCGATAGATACAAATTACTCTGCTTCGTAAGAGTAACAACAAATGTGTCTAGATTTCTAATATACAGATAGTGTATTTCTCTAGAAACGTTTCAGTAAAACAGTCCAACTGTTTATTCTTAAGTGTGTAAGTTTGTGCCCTAAACCATGCAGAATTACAAGACGTCATTGTAATCCTAAATAGAACTATCAAAATTTACAATTATTAATAAGCAACACAACAAAAAGTAGCGTATTTTCAACTTCAAAAAGCAGAAAGTTTTCAATTCGGTCATATTTTTTTATCTTTGCTACTTCATACTTTTACATACTTATTTTGCACACCCTATGGGTAGAATGAGGCATATACTTTTATTATTTCTATATTGTAACATCATAATAATCTGTATTTCTTGTAAATAAAGAATTTGATTTGCTTTGATCATAACTCCATCAGATCTAAACTGTCTTGGATTTATTTTATCTGAAAGGATATATTTAAAGATTGGTCTCTTAGAAATTTTATCAAAATCGATTCAGTACTTTTAAAACAAAATAATTGGTTTTTTCACAAAAGAATTTTTTTATTGGAATATAATCTTAATTATTATTTCAAAATAAATACGCGTAAGTCAACAGCTGGGACTTATATTCAATGCTACAATAAGTACAGTTAAATTAGAAAACCTAAAGTGCAAATATATATAAAATAAGTTATTTTTTATATAAATTGCAAACAAGCATATGGCCTGCCTTACAGTATGTTTCCAGAGCCAAACGCCTGCAACATAAACCATGTCACGCGAGTTACTGACCGTTGTGACATGAAGATCTTAGTTATAGTTGATACCCAGTAAATGCACTTCATATCATATACTCCAAACCATACATAAGGGTGATGAATACAGAAAAAGGAGAGATATCCATATAAAGGACTTCATATAATTTTCTCTCAGATATTGTAAATTTATAAGAGCCTGACAAAATATTGGAAAATTTGGTATTCAAGTTTTCTTAGCTTTATATACTATATTAATAAAAAAGTGTAGTAAATAAAAGATTATATGGATATTATATAAGTAATAACTCACCTATCAGCCAAAGCTTTCGCCAACATTTCCTTTCTCTTCTTATTTTGTTCTTCCATCAACTTCTGTTTCAGTTGAAGCTCTTCTAACTTCGCTCGGTGTGCTGCTAGTTCATTCTCGGAATAATTGCCAATACCTCTAACTATATCTGGTCCTAAATCAGTACTGCACTTTCTAAATTCCTGTACTCCCTGACCGTCAATACTTTCTGCATTAGTTATACTTTCCGTTTCTTGTCCTTCATTGGTTGTATTGTTTATATTGTCATTAGTGTCAACATTTTCTTTGTCATTATCATTCAACGTTATATCACTTAGTTTTTCATCATCATCGCTAAGTCTTTTATTATCGTTACTAATATCATCATGTAGTGAAGGACTCTTCAAGCTCAGTTTACATTTTTCAAAAACTAAGCTATCAAATGCATCATCTGAACTCTGTTTCTGTAGAATTGGCAATTTATACTGGTTAAGTGGTCTTTTTGGTTTTGGTCCAATTTTGTCCAGTTTTTTAATTGCTGCCTGGTTAAATTGAAGGCCTGAAATAAAAACTATAATTGAATAAAGGCACCAATATTTTTTTTATGTGAATAATATCTATTTAGGAGCACTATAGGCAACAAGCTCAAACTAATGTGCTTATTATCTACATAGTAATGTCCGGCAGATAATGGAATATGTTAATATATATATGTTATATTTAATCAATGATTTATATTCTAACAATTATATATGTATATGTTATGTATATTAATATTTTATTCCGTAATATATACCACACTTACTAATGTATACAGTTCTTACTATTTTTATGTGAAAGTGAGTTTGTTTGTTTGTTACATCTTAACATTTAGACAAATACTGAGAAATATCATGTAAATAAAATAAAAAAATCCTGTTTTAGACCTTGTTTTAATTCCCTTAAATATATTCAGGTCACAAAGTTGTGGGTAAAAGCTAGTATTTAATACTAAAAACTCTCAGCTTACTCTGTAAGGAAGCCTGTGTTAGATACATAAAATGAAATCAAAATAATTATGATAGCTTTAATGAAGTATGTAGTCTTTAAAACTGAATCTTTTTCCCAAGGGACTGTGGGTTAAGGATGTAGTCAAGTCAGGAAATCTAGTTTTTTTTTAATGGATGATAATGTAATGGCGGGGTTACCATTGACCACCTGCGTTATTGCTATACTCTGGCGGAGCACCACTGAGGGTTAATTGGTGAGGATGAAAATGTGGGCCAGTTAGCATATTGTGATAAATTCAACAATAAATTAGTCATGATGGATTTCAGGGGGAACCACATTGAAGTTGACTTGATAGGGTATATTGATACAAATGAGGACTCCTCCCCTATACTAAAAATACTTTTCCCGCAAGGAACACTAATAGCTATTAATATCAATTAAACCTTTTAAACAAAATTAATAGTAATGCTATCATGTAGTATGTACATGAATAACTTCCTTAGGAATAAACTGCTGAGTTCAGTAATAAAAAAAAAATGTTTTTAAGACATGTATTTGCTCAGAATATAGTGGCACAAGTGATATGTAAAAACATAAGATAAATATTGATCTATTCCAAAATATAAGCAAATAGAATGTATTAAACTGCCAGATATTGTCATTGAAGTTATCATTATAACAAGTTCCACCAAAGCACTCTACCTATTTATAGAAAAATAGAAAAAAAAAATATTTTAGATTAATACTATTTATATTTCATTGGAATACAAATATTATTATTTACTTTAGCAACAAATCTAAGAACACTACAATCCATTGCTTTCTAAACAATGCACTATTGTATCTATAGTTAATATCACAATATTTATTGCTAAATACATTAAAAACATTTTTTCAAACTACCATCTTTACACACATATAAATATGTACCTACATACCTAAGTACTTCAATTTAACTGAAACTAAATCAATATTATATGATTTTATCTAGAAATATACATTTTTGAAATCTTTTAGTTTAATAGAAAATAAAAATCAAATATATTTAAACCTAAAATAATATCTCAAATTTGGATTGTTAACTGTATATCCCATCACCAGGAAATTAAAGAAATATTCAATTTGCTTCAATAAGATAAAATGTAATGTCCTTAATAAATTCACTATATTGTATTTAATATAAAACAAAAAGTATTTTTAGAATTTATGTACATAGATACAAGGGAGAAAATACATATATGTGGGAAAGGTTATAGATCTGATAGTTATTAGTCCTTATACTTATTAGATGAAGTCTTATTTAAATGGTTGGCAGATTTGAATAGAATTTAATACATGAATAGACAACATTCTAGTATATAAAGTTCCTTAGGTGTTACCTGGGACACTTTATATATCAATTTTCGTGGAAACCCCCATGGAATATAACTAATATTTATCAGAAAAATACAAGCAATAAGTGCAGTCTATAGTCAATTCTAAGAATTCGTTAATATAACGCGTAACATAAACAAGCAAAAAAATACAAATTGAACTTCTTCTTTTTAAAGTCCTTAAAATATGAGTATATAGTTAACTAAGATACTGATACTCGAGTAATGGAAACTATAATTACCAGAATTACCGCCACTATCTCCGGACTTAATACGTTGTAAATCTTCTTCACTAAAGCCGGTAAATGTCGACGACATTACTGAGTATTTCCTAGAGTTAACACATATATGTTTAAAGTGTGATGTATGTTAAGGTAATAAAACTAGATAATTTTTTAACACTAATTATTATAACGTGGCTTCTATTAATTTGTGACAATGACAATTTAGGTCTTCATTTCATCCGAATATTATATAATTAGTAAACTATAATCAATAAACATTTATTAGGTATAGGTAAATAATGAACATTTTGTTTTCAGTAATCTAAATAAAAAAGAAATAAAGATATAAATGGTTAATCAAATCATATAATCAAACATACATTTTTTTTTTTTTTTAGTACGTTTGTTCCGTTTGGAACAGGCTAAGGTCGGAGACCATGCTGCCTAGTCTTCAAAAAGATAATTTGTCTGGAATTTTATTTTTCTAATGTCGCTTCAATTATTGTCATAATCTTCAATATTTCATTTGTCAAATCCGGTAAGTACATTTTCATAAATATCTTTTCTTGAGTTTTCTTAAACCAGTGGATTTATCAAATTAAAAATAAATAATTATAAAAAATCATTGTCTTGCAATTCAATAAAAGTATTCTTATAGCTCCTTGAATGTTGTAGTAATATAAGTGAAAATAGCTTTGAAACAAGAAGGAAATCTTAAGAGAAGCGGGATTGAGTGCGGGATATTTTCGGGTTTTTTGAAGATAATCCTAAGTTCGTCAAACATAATGTGTCTTTGAATGACAAATTCAGAGCAATCAAAAAAAAGGTGATGTAGAGATTGGGCTGTATTTGAGTTACACCATGTGCATGATGGGGAAGCGATCATGCCCATTCGGTGCAGGTGTTCGTTGAAATGTCCGTGGCCGATTCGTAATCTACAAATATTGGTGTAAAATTTTCTGTTTGTGTCCTTTCCTTTGCAGAACCACGGTTTTCCAATACGCCAATTAATTTTGCGGTACCATTTGCCTTTAGTCTGTAATATTTGAGTCCAATGCTCCTCCCATTTAGTTGTAACGATTTTATGTATTCCAATACTACAATCTGAGTAACAAAGGGGTAAATCTTGAACACGAGCAGCACTTGAATTAATAATTTTAGCCAAAGTGTCTACTTGTTCATTCCCAAACACTCCAATATGTGAAGGGGTCCAGATGAAGATAATATCTTTTCCATATATAGTACAGAGATGATAATATTTATTACGAATTTCTTGAATTAAGTAGTTTGATGATGAAATGAATGTGTTATTTTTTAATGCCATAAGAACACTCATACTATCTGTAATTATAATCCATTTCGAATATAGTACCTGTTTTTCTATGTATTCTAATGCTAAAAATATAGCTTTTGCTTCTGCTGTGTAAATACTAGCCAAAGTTGAAATTTTATAACCGTGACCAAATCTATTTGACAAATCGTAAAAAGCCACTGAAGTGCTAAGTGCATTTTTGGAACCATCTGTATATATCTGCCTGTAGTCAATAAATTCTGATAAAGTCTCATACATATCGTGCTTTTCTTTTATGTCTTTACGTATAACAATTTTGATCTTACAGAACTTACTCTCATAAAGGCCATTATAACAAGGAAGTATCTTACTACTATAGATGTTATATTCATCTCGTAAATTCAAATCATTGACAATAGTTTTATTCAAAAACATAGAAATGGGGCAATTTAATAATTTGAGTATGAGTGGGTTATTGGAAACTGAAAAAACTTTGAAGAGAAATTTGAGTTTTAGGTATTCGAAACGAAGAAGGATAGGAGGCAAATTACATTCTACTTGCATTGAGATAATTGGAGAAGTATACATAGCACCTAAAATAAGTCTTAAATTCATATTTTGAATTTTTTCGAGTTTTTCTACTAATTTATGTTCTGAGGCATAACAAAAGAAAGCGTAATCAAAATTACTTCTAACAAGAGATTTGTAAAGTAAAAGGATAATTTTAGGATCAGCTCCCCAGTTACGACCAATTACAGATCTTATTATATTAGTGGCTCTTAAAGCACGATCTACTAAGCAATCAACGTATAGATCCCATTTTAAATTTTGATGAAAAATTACCCCAAGAAATTTAACGCTACAGTCTGTTGGAAGAGTTTGATTATTATATATAATATTCATTAATGGAACATATTTATGAACTTGATGAAAAACAACTACTTTACTTTTGGTTAAACTAATATCGAGGGAAAGAAGAGACAAATATTTCTCAAGTCTTTTTAATGACTCATTTAACACTAATTGCATATCAATAATATTCTTTCCTTTTATATAAATTAATAAATCATCGGCAAATTGCAAGTTGTTCACACTGTTTCCTAAAATTGAATTAAGTTTATAGATATATAAAATATATAGTAGCGGGCTTAGAATACCACCTTGACATACTCCTTTAGAGCTTAACCTAGGTCCTATTAATTTACTATTTACTTTAACATACACTTCTCTATTACTAAGAAAATTATAAATCCATTCGATAAGTTTCATTGGAAGAAATGAGGATAAAATCGAAGATAGAACTGTTAAATTTACATTGTTAAAAGCTCCTACGACATCTAAAAAAACAGATAGAACATATTCATCGTTATTCAAAGCAGTACTAAGGTCGACATAGAAGTTCGCTAAACTTTCGCGCGCTGAATATCCACGGCGAAAACCAAATTGATTCGATGGTAATATACTATTATTTTCAATAAAGAACTCTAAACGCTGTTTAATTAATTGTTCGAATAATTTGCCTGCACAGGACGTCAATGTTATAGGTCTATAGGAGTCGAAATTTGTAGGATCTTTACCGGGTTTAATTACTGGAATCAAACAATCCATTTTCCATTCTGGTGGGATAATACAGTCCTTCCATAAATCGTTAAAAATTTGTAAGAGTTTAGTAAGGTTTATTTTATTCAGCAATCGAAACATATTGTATGTTAAGCGATCAAGGCCACTAGCTGTATCTTTTCTAGATTTTACTGCACTGGATATTTCATCAATTGAGAATGGGTCAGTGAGAAATTTTGGGCATGAATTAACAGAATTAAACTGTTTGTCATCAAAAGGTGAGTGTACAAAATCAGGAGTATATTTGCGTAAAAAATCATTGACCCATGATATATCTTTAAAATGATTTTGACGATGTTTTGAATTTAGTTTTCTCATATTTTGCCAAACAGTGGAAATTGGTGTTAATCTATTAAATTTGGAACAAAATTCCTGCCACCCCTGTTGTCTTACTTGCTTAATTACTAACTTTTTAACAGCTTGAACTCTTTTAAAATTTATGTAATTATCGAGAGTTGGATTTTGTTTAAACCTAAGGTAAGCCGCTTTACTATCATTGACAGCTGTCGCACACCTGTTATTCCACCAAGGTACTGCAATATGTTTGTGCCTCTTTGAAGTATTTGCACCGCTATTTGATAAGTTCCTACGTGGAACGGAACGTTCCACAGCTGTCAAAATAATTTTACAGAACCTATTGTAATTGTTTAAGGGTTCATTGACATCATACTCGAAATCCAAAAGTAATCGATTAACAGTTTCAGAATAAAGATCCCAATTAACGAGACGTAGGTTTATACGATTTAACAAAAGTTTATTAACTTCATCTATAGGAGCATGTTGTTCACCTGACGGAGTTGATGAAGAGTTCTTTGTGTTTATTTTAGTAAAAGTCGGCAGGTGATAACTTCCTAACGGATCATCATGAACCGACCACTCGCATTTTAATGATATGGATGGGGATACCATAGTTAAATCAAGGCCATTGGGTCTCCAAATATGAGAGCCAACAGTAGTAACTTGCTTATCATTTAATAGTACCAAATTACATTCATCTAAACAATCAAGAATGTCTTTACCTCTTGTATTAGTGGAGGTACAACCCCACATAGTATGATGTGCATTTAAATCTCCAGATATGATAGTGGGTTTAGGAAGAGACTCCAAAAAGAACTTAAATTTGGCTTTAGTAAAACTAGGTGTACTATTGGTAGGACAGTAAATACTGGCAACTGAATACCAAGAATTATTAACTTCAATACTAATAGCTATAGTTTGCAAAGAATTGTCGAAAAAAGAGTGAAGTTTTTTATATCTAATACTATTATGTATAATAATCGCTACTCCATTGTGGTTATTACCACAATCATTTCGTTCTATACAATAATCTTTAATTTTTAATTTGTAATGTGGTTTTAGCCAAGTTTCTGAGATGAGAGCAATGTGAATATGATGTTCATTTAAAAATTGTGTAAAAATATGTCGATTGCTCAGTAGGCTCTGAGCGTTCCACTGTATGATAGTTAATTGGTCTCGATTGAATTTTGTGAAATAGGTCTATTACCAAAAGTATCATATAACACATTCAAAACACTTTTAGTGTTAATAGATGTGTTCTTTGTGTTATGTAGTGAAATAAGTTTGATTATGCTTTCTATTAAAAGTGATAAACTCTTGTTATCAGAATTTAGAATTGAAATTAGGTCTACATTTTTTTTAGGTTTGTTACCCAGTTTAGGAAATATTTCAGTGCTAAGTATATCTCCAAAAGAAGCAGGTCTGAATTTAGATCTATTTTCAGCAATTTTCTTTTGTTTAACAGGGCATTGCGGTGATACACTTGTGTGATTTCCATTGCAGTGTACACAAATAGCGTTTTCCATTCCAGTTGTACAAGTTTTATAATTATGCTCACCTTTGCAGATGCTGCAACGCTCAGAATTCTTACAGAATTTAGCTAAATGTCCATACCTCAAGCACCGGTAGCATTGTTTAACTGGTGGTATATATGGAGTGACATTGTGGCGCCAACCTCCAATATCCAGATATTCAGGTAATACAGATGCAGCAAAAGTAATTGTCACGGTTAGAGTTGGCTGTAACACATATCCATGAGTCAAGGTATTTTTTCTTAAAAGTCTTTTAATAGCAATAATTTTCTTAGAACTCGATATCATAGTATATATTTTTTTATTAGATATATTTGTAGGTACATTTCTAATAACGCCTGTAACTTCTGTTGAAGAAGCAGGAATACTGGCCTTAAAATGGTAGTCATTTAAAAAAGTTTTATTATTTAAAAAAGCATTGGCTAAGTCTGGCTTTTGAAAGTATACTCCGATTTTGAATTTATTTATAGATCTAAGATAAGTTACCCCTTTATTAAATCGTTTTAAACAGGAGGAGAGTGAGAGCAAGTCTCTGGATCCAATGGTTTTCTGACTATCTGAGGATTCTACAAAGACAACAAATTCTGTCCCAGGGGATTCCTCGGGATATCTTCTAATATAATCTGTGACGTAGTAAGGTTTATACTTATCGGCCTTATCAATTTCAGATTCTGAGTCAGTAGAAGTATCTTCCGAATATATATCCTTGTCATTACAAGGTTCATGGTCTACATCACCTGAATCGTCATCTTTTTTTTTTCCTTTTTCTACAACTGCGCTTCCCCATGAATGCTAATTATATTACTGTCGCTGAATTTAGTGAAAATATAATATTTTATTCAATAATAAGAATTGATAGAGATAGTTTTAATAAATTAATAAAAAAAATTTAAAAAACCCGCTTGTTCTTATTCGAGTTTCCCGCCTTTTTTTCCTCAAACATACAATTCGGTACGTCAACGTCATCAATTATTCCGACAGCTGTCAGTGTGGTTGTGACACTATTTTGATTTGCTATGAATTTGATTCTCTTACAAAATAAAATGCATTTGTACTTATTAGATTTCAGATTTGTTTATAGGTATCTACCGACTACTTAACTAATATTCACTTTCAACTAATTAATTATTCAAGAACTAAAATATCATAATCTCCTTGCAAAGATTTTGGAATAGCTACAATAAACCAAAGATTTTCCTATACGGTTGGTATTAAAGGGGAACATGAGATTAACATTTTATAAAATAAGTAGAAGGGTTAGTTACTTAATGTTAAAATGCTCTTTATAAAATTGCTTAGCATCCCCATATTTTTTAATATATATTTTTTTAATTTATTTTAGTTATTTATTTATTTGTTCTTTATTGCACAATAAAACTTTGTACAAATGGTGAGCTTAATGCCATATGGCATTTACCTCATTGAATCTATTAATGTAAATTTTGACCAGATTTCATGAGTTACCAAATGGCAACATTGGTCATTTTGCCTTGATGCTTTTCTGTTTCTATCCTATTTTTGATTTCAGGTTATAATTTATTACAAACTTTAATATTAAATACTTATTTTATATCAGCTGTTGACAGTAAGTGTTTATATTTTTTTTATTATAAAAACAGTAGTTAGTCATTCTTTAAATTTAATATATTTTACATTTTAGGAAAATACTTGAAAATGGCGGCGGCTATGCCTATCAACCCCAAACCCTTCCTTAATAGCTTGACTGGAAAGTCAGTACTTGTGAAATTAAAATGGGGTCACGAGTACAAAGGACTCTTGGTGTCTGCTGATGGCTATATGAATTTACAGCTTGCTAACACTGAAGAGATCGTCGATGGTTCATGTACAGGTTAGTTAAAACCCGGACGTTGTTTATCATAAGCAAATATTAAAAACATATATAAGTACGCCTTATCCCTTTGGTATTAACAAACAATGAAACTCTAGATTCTCTGATATATTTATATTTCGCTATAAATTTTATATACCAATTCTCCACATTTACAAAATCGCCACTTGTGAGTAAACACTCGTAACATATTAAGTATAGGATTACTTTTACTATACTTATTTACACTTCATACATCTCTCAGTCGTAGTTGTTCCTTTATTCATATCTTAGAAATTTATCAAAAAAAGATTGAAAAAAAAAGAGGTATAGATATTCTTCACCGTAATGACCCTGATATACCTGTGACCTGGTACCTGGTGGTACCTGGTGACCTATAAATATCTGATTCCAAACATTTATAGGTAATCACTTACCATCAAGTGACCCATATGCTTGTGTAACACCTCAGTGGTGTAAAAGTAAAAAAAACAATTGTTAATGGGATCTAGCAGCTTCATTCCTAATAACGTGCCCTGTCATTTGGACGGTCATACAATCCATTGAAACTATTCTATTGAATTCATCATGATAAACCAACTAACTTGACCTCATGTGCATATAATTTTTAACCCCCATATAACAAAAGTATAAAAAAAAATGTATAACAGGGAGACATAATTGTATACTGATTAGACTCTTGGTAATTGAAACAGGAGATATTTTAGACAGACATATTTTATTTGCCGTCTTTCTCTTAAAAAGGTGCAACTAAATAGGTATGTTCAGAAACAAAAAAAATTATATATTATGTCATGATTGACAGCACTTAGAATTTTGTATACATATTGAAATTATTTGAAAAACATTTGTATTCTACAACAATAAATTGTGAATAAAAATATTTTTTACAGGTAACTTAGGTGAAGTTCTGATCAGATGTAACAATGTACTATATGTACGTGGAGCTGAAGAAGAGGATGAAGAAGGAGAAATGAAAGAGTAACCTTAGTTATAATTAGTTTAAGGAAATCTATCTTAAGTCATTTCCAATTCTCACACAATTTGTAAAATGACAATCCTAAACAGTGTTCTACAAATTTTGTGACCTAGGCTAAGTACATAAATTTTACTATAAATCCATTGTTTTATTTCTTAATTTCTTTATTACTAAAAATATTATTAAAATAAAAAATCGTGTCACCTAAACAATCTTCAATTGTGACAAAGTTATTGTGATCCAATAACTAAACTACTAAACCGATTTTGTTAAATTTCAATGGGACTAAATTGTAAATTTATCCTACACAGAACAGATAAAAAAATAATTTTCCAAATTATTTAAAACTGACATAATTATGAGGTAACAAACATGAAAAATATATAACTGAATTGAGAATCTTTTAAGTCAGTTAAAAATAAAATTCTCAACAAAAAAAACAACCTGTATCTGTACCAACAGCACTACAAAATCTATATATGTATATATTATGTAGGTAAATTTTAAAATTATTAAAAACAATTAGATTTCATAAGTTTCATATATTTTCATTAACAGATATTTACAGAGATCACAACATTTATACAATCACAATACGACCTACAAATTCACTATACAATCATAATATACACAAACTTATCTGTGTATGTTTGTTGCCTGCAATCAATCATCATAAACAGTTGCTAACAAATCTGTCAATAGATACATTACCACTATCGCCTGTTAAGATGAAACAAAATAACTATGTCCAGCATTTTGTTCCTTCTAGCAATACAATAATGAAAACATTTTAATTTGTTTAATGGTCACTTATCTTTGGGCTGGGATAGTAGCATTACTGACGATTGCTAATACTACCCTTATTAGGGATGTCATTAGTGGAAAGTGACAATCATACCTTCTCAAATATAAAAAATGTTGCAATAAAAAAATCAGACTTACAACCTAATAAATGTTTATATACTTGTCAAATTATTAAATACATTTACTCTTCATACACAGTAACAATTTAGTCAGTGGTTTCATACATAGATAAGTTTGAATGGATACATACATAACAAATGCAACAGTCTGCATGTGAGCAGAAATCCAAAGTAGCCTAAACCATTATTAAAATGGAATTTAATTAAAATTCCTCTTGAAATTTAAGATTTTAGAAAATAAGTTTACTTGCAGCCCTAAAATATTAAGTTGCACATTTACTTATAACAATACTTAAATGCACTAATTATTTGACTTTTACAATAAATAGTAAGTATATAATTACTTAGATAAAAAATATACAGTTAGGAATGTTACTGTATTATCTACTTAACATTTTTAATTATAGCATGTCAATGTAATAAGAATTCGTATTATAATTCGAGATCTGCTTTTATAAACAGATTAACATATAGGTATAATTTCAGATTCATTTGAAAATTATAATTTTTTGTCATAATTTCTTCAAATATTAAATCTAGCAACTTTTGTCTGATTGCCTAGTGAGTAGCTAAATAATATTTTGTAAATTCTTTATTCAAAATGTCTATACTCATTTTAACACTAATAAGTTATACAACACTAGATAAAGGTGTCTTAAAATAATTATTTTGAGCGGTTCGTCTTAAAATATATATTTTTATTGCTGTACCTACATGAGTGAGTAAACATAAACATTCACAAAATACAGTGAACTACATATTGTTTGATCTATAGTAATACATGTTAATTCGAGTTGAGGCATAGACTTTAGAATCATTGAAGTGAATCTCTAACAGCAGCCTGTAATTTAACGTAACTTACTCTAAATAATCACAAAATAAGTCGTTACGTATAGTATTGGGTGTCCATGCATGCTTTTTTGATTCAATGACACAATATAATACGCTACAATGTGACAATAGAATACATAATTAGGTGTATGATTTTAATTACCTAAAAAAAGTAACGCCCGATTCCACATCTTATAATATTAATTTTACAAACACCTGCCTTTATTTTCTATGACTAGCAATGACAAATAAGTTGCCCGTTCATCTGATGGTATGTGGTAACCGTCGTCTATAAACATGAACGGAATATATTGCCACTGGTGTACCTTATAATGTTACATTGCAACATGGCAATTAAATTCTAAATCTTAAAACTTCAAACGCGTACTGAAATTACTTTGCCATAAAAACAGGCAATTTAAGCGTTACAATTAAAAGTATTTAACTCCTGTAGATTAGAAAACACTGAACAATAATTAAAATAGAACGCAGATATATTGCAATAGTTTTCAATTGATAATTGAATTTTCTTAGCTTGCTAATTACTATAGAAGTAAGCCGTAATTGCAACAAATCTCCTATCGAGGTAACTCTGCTCCAGCTCTATAGAACCACCAATTGTCTTTGCCAGCGACAGCAACTATAACAAAAAAAAAAAAAAAATATTACCAAATACTGTGTAAGTACTAAAATAAAAATCGAAACATTTCTCATTTTTTAAATAAATAAACAAAATTGATTAAAGTATCATAATCATCATATCAACCTTTAACACTCCTGAACATAAGCTTTTCCCATAAGAGAAGTTTTGTTGGCAGGCTGGTTTTACAACCGCAGTTAGGCTTTTAGTGATGTTTTAAGAGTGATGCTGCTGCTGCTCCTCCCCTCTACCATTAAGCTCCCTTTATCGTCTCTTACAACACCCACAGGAATAGGTTGTCCTATTCTATGCCGGGACTACACGGAGGTTTAATATATACTAAATATTAATAGTATAAATTTGAACAAAATGAAAATCATTGGGTCTATTCTGGGCTGTCTCATCCCTAATCTCTTAACTCCCTAAACTTACTACTAAAAACTTTAAGTGATCTATACTATAATGTTATAACTAAATAACAATTAATAACATATTTTTCTCAATTATATTATAAATTTAGTGTATACTGTTCCTTGAAATAAATTTTTAATTATAAAAATAGAGAATAATATATTGTCCCAATAATGACCCTATTGCCTTAAACAGGTATCAACATTGTACACATATAATACCGTAAACAAAATAAAAAATATACTGTTAATTATAAACATATATGAATTGTGTAATGTGCTTAGCAGCTTACCTGATCAGATCTAGTGTTCCTTGGCACGTACAAAGTTATATTGGATGATATAGTTCGCGCGGTCGCGATCAACTCCGATGCGGGTTTAGGTTCTAACATTGTTTCCAAATCATATGAAGAACTCTGTAAAGAGATGATTTGTATTAAAAAAATGTATATAATATAATGTGTCTAATACAATTAGCATTTGAAAATAGATACATATTTATATTTTTAATTAATTTTTAAATTAAATGTTTTATCGTTAAAAGAATTTTTAAGTAGCCACCAGGAGAATTATTTACATAATTTTAAAGATAAAAAAAAGAGACACCTCTAGCAGTCAACCTACCAAGATGACAATAATGTATTAACATTTAGTAGAGTAGTCAAGAAATGCTAGTAATGAATGAAATTATATTTCAGTAATTCTATTATATAAGTTTATTTATTTATTTATATGAACATCAACAGCATATTGCATTATAATACATATAACAAACATTAAATACTATACAATATGAATGCACATGCCTTTTAAAGGTAGGTTAATAAAAAAAATGGATAAAGATCATACAAAGCTTACTTTAGAGTAAGTAGGTCCTCCCCATGGTGGGCTAAGGAAGATCATATCGGCTTGTAATGTTGGTGCCAATTCGAAAAAGTCGCCCACTATAAACTCTATGCGGTCGGCCACCCCATATACTTCGGCGTTGTGCTTCGCCATTTCTATCTTTGCGGGATCTATATCTACTGCTATAACTGGAAATGTTTTGAAAGATTAAATTAGATATCACATAATATATTATAATAAATATTTTTAATAAACAATCCTGTCTTCTCCATTATAAACGTGTTTGTGTAAAGTTTTATCTTTTTTATGCAGCATGAAATGACAAATGAGCTAATGGTTCACCTGATGGAAAGTGGTTACCATCTATACTAATATAATAAAAGGGGAGAGTTTTGTTTATTTGAATGTGCTAATAGTTTTAATGAGCTAGTAGCTGTGGGATACAGAAACAAACTATAGAAACCAATAGATATAGGATACTTTATATGTTAATAACTTGCAGGAAAAGCCAGAGGACGTTTCCCACTAATCTTAAATAAATACCTTTTGATAAAAGAGACATTTACCTTTCCTGCAAAAGTTTGCGAATTGTATAGTGTTTCCGCCGGCGCCGCAGAAAGCGTCGAGCACTACCTCGTACGTGTATTTAGTGGCGATATGGCGTGCCACCTGCTCGGGGGTCACACTGAACCAGCTCTCGCGGTCCAACTTGATGCCCTCGTCGAACCTGGACAATATTTAATGGATAAGGCAACGTCCATTAATCCTTACTAATATATCCATTAATTCTGACTAATATGTCCATTAATTCTGACTAATATGTCCATTAATCCTGACTAATATGTCCATTAATCCTGACTAAAATACCTATTAATCTTGACTAATATATCCATTAATCTTAACTAATATATCCATTAATTCTAACTAAATGTGAAAGTAAGTTTGTTGGTTACTATAATACCTTGACAACTTAACCAATCGCTATGAAATTTTGCATATACATACTATATGGGATGGAGAAGCACTTATTCCGATCTATACTATTATACTTTTTATTCCGATCAGTGAAATTATCTTGGTTATGAGGATCAAGTCACGGAAAAAAGTTGTATATAAATTTATTAACGTTGATAATTATTATGTATGTATTCAATTAATATCGATAAGAAATTGTCCGATTAATTGAATTTGGTGAGATATGATAAGACCCGCTCCCTCATCCCTTATGTGAGTTAAGCCATGAGATGTTAAATATTTAAATTATTTAATCTATAAAGTATTTTGCTTCATCCATCACACGAGTTGTATATTTCTTTGCCTCCTTCATGGTATAAAAAAAAATAACTTTTAATTTATTTTTATTTTAAAACAAATTATAGAAAACAAAATTTGTCATAGACTAAACTCAAATATTCTGAATGTAATGTGAATTTTAAATACTTGAATTAGAACGCAGAATCGTGTAAATGGATAATGTTACCTGTGAAACAATGAATGCCTTTTCTTCCAGTACTTAAACATCTTCGAATCGTCCTTCAGCTCGGGAGGCATACCAGATATACCGACACCAGCATCTTCTAGACGGGAATGGCGTTTATTTCGTCTCCTCCGTTTCGTTGTATCCGACGTGTTCAGTACTGTGTTGAAAAATATAAATCATAATAAATATTTAAGTTTTGAAAGAAGAATACTTTGTACAAAGGATGTCTACTTTGTATATATAATTTCAAGTCTTGACTTATCATACAATGCGCTTGTGACATCCCTCGTATTACAGACGTCCATAGACTTTAGTGGCCATATACCATCAGATGGTCTATGCTTGTTTATTACCTTGATGCTATAAAAAATGCCCTTTCTTTAGAAAAAAGATTGGCAGATGAATGAAACGTATCAATGATATATTTATGCAAATGACTCTTGTACATAGGTTCTCTGTGGTTCCATAGAATTCACTTTAGAACTCTCTTAGAGGATTTTTGAAATTTCATTTAACTGTATACCAACACGAAACATCTTATTGTTATAATAAAATTGTAACTAGACAATGTCTTTCCATGGGATATATTACAAACAAATTGGAGACATATAAGGGTCTGAATAAAAGCAACTGAAGTCAAAACAATCAATTTTGGAATTTTCACAGTTGCGTCTAACTTATCTAGACATAGTTATTGACATCAAAAATCCACATGTACGAAGTTGCAGACAGGAACTAGTATAAATATAAAATATTACCTGCACTTTCTATAGCACTTTCATTATTCTGGTCATCATTATTGTCCTGTGCATCACTGAAGGAAGTTTCCAAATCTGGTGGTAACTCTACTTCTGCCGCTTCGCTAACCACATCCTTTCTGTTATCACTGCCATCATAGTTGGCAGGAAGATTACAAATTGTGCCTTCAATATCTGCACTTTCAGACTCGAGATTTGTGGTCTTTTTTTCAATGTCTGTTTTGTCCATTTCTTCATCTGTTTGCATTACTCGTTCATCGTATGAGTCTTGTGCCTGATAAATAATAATGTTTTGTTTCTAAAATGCAACATGCAATTATTACCTGAGATACTTTTTAAATAAGGGATAATTTTTAAATATGTTGTCTGTTAAATATTTAAATATCTCATATATTCAGAATGCACAATCATGAAGAAACCTGTTATAAATTTTTATTTATGATTATATATTTGATTATATATTATATATTTAATAAAAAAATTGGGAATTGATGTAGAAATATTATTAAATATGATAATCATTTACTAATAATTATTAAGTGATTGAAAAATTTCGATGCGGGCGAGACTGGAACCCGCAACTTTTATGAATCATGTATAAGTGGTTATCATTTATCAAAATAGTGTATTAAAAGAGAAACAACAGATATATGTGTATATAATATAGTGTGGTTTGCATAAGTGGTGTGCATAAAATTTAATACCTGGCAAGGGTTACCATCTTCATCAAAATACGTCTTTCTAGCCATTCCAAACCTTTTGTATCGCGGGGGACGGAGTCTCGCCAGCCGTTTCCTATATACAAGTTGGCCTTTTGGAATATTATTATGATTTGTGGAGAATCCCATTATTTCGAAAGTAGATTTAACTTTCTCTGATGCTATTTCCTCTTCATCAATTTCGTGACTAAAACAGTACATAATATTAGAACTTGGTACATAAAAGATAGATTAATGCACAGGGGAATATTTACGCTGCCATGCACATGAGATTGAATACAAAACAAACGCAAAAAAGTATCTACAAGGACTGTTATATCAACAAAAAGACTTAATAAGATTATTTAATATGTTAACTACTACCTTCTTTTCAATGAAACAGATTTCTCTTCAGGCGGTTCATCATCACCATCATCATCATTATACAGTGTACAGTTTGTTACATTATCAGGCTGTATACATGTCCTCGAAATTACAGCTCCATCCACAACATCAACTGTAACTGTCTCTGCTTTATCATGCTCAGTATCTGCACCCTCAAATACTTCAGTGTCATCACTGTTCTTTTGTTCTTCTTTAAGTAAATTCTGTAATAACACCCCAACAGATCCAAGATATCTGTTGCTTGTTTTCTTATTCCTTTTCTTTGGTTTTTTCACTTTATCCTCCAATTTTATTTCATCTATTTGATTCAATACATCTTTAACCTCTATCACAGAAGGCATCTCTTGTGAGTTACCTTCACTGTTCTCACATTCTATATCAATTGGTTTTTCATCAATTTTCTTGATAACTTCTGGAATCATTTCAACATTTATTTCAGGTAAATCTTTACCTTGAGCATCATGGCATTCAACGTAATTTGCATAATGCAAAGCATACTGTTCACCAAAGTGCTTCTTCCATAAAAATTGCCAGTACTGCTCTGTATCTAATTCCTCTGAGGGCACCGAGTCTACGTTTTCATTTATATTGATAATTCTAGTTTGATCATTTGATTGGTCATCTGATGTAGAAGATGACACACTGTAATCATCAGTTGGTGTTGACTCGGATGTAACATGGCTTGAAGTTATATCATAACTTGAAAGGGTAATTTTTGTAATATTAGTCATTGAATCTGTGCCTCCTACTGTCCTGGGGCTAATTATTCTATCATGTTCAGAACAAGATCTTTTCCTAGCTAAAGGAAACCATGTATCATCTTTATTTTCTATATCGGGATTTTTAACACCCTTATCAATAATTGGAGCTGCTCGACTTTTCTTGTATGGATTAACTTTGGAATCATATGAAAATTTCCTTTCCCTCATGCTATCTTCATTTGTATCCAAGGTAATTTTATCTTTACTAAATATCTGATCTGCTGAATGCTGCTTTGGTATATTATTATCATCCATGACCAATTCATTATTTTGATCTAAATAAGCAGGATTTATGTAGTCACTATACTTTTTAATCCATGAAGCCCAAATTATCCTTTCTCCATTGACAGCCCAAAATTTCTCCCATGTGTCTTCTGATAAATAGTTTTCTATGATATCTGATAAACTTTGAGATGGGAAATCTTGATCCATCTTTTCTAATTGATCATGGGTATAGTCAGAGTGACAATCTTGGTATGTAAGGTCGGCTCCACTATCACTAGGTTGAAGAGCATGGGAAGAGGCACCATGGATCTGTGCTGGATCATGCTCATCAGTGGAGCAGTAGTTATCTGTATGTGATGCACTACAGTAGCAGCTTGCCCCTTCATCTTTCTGTGAAATTAGTAGTATCATGTTAAGTAGATTTACCTTATAACTTTATTTGTATAATAGTAACATAAATTTCAATTTATAATTTAGAAGAAGTAAGAAATTGATATGGAAATATTAATAAACATAATTTAAATTGCATGCAGTGTAAACAAATTTAAAATAAATCTTTGAAGTATGTACCTCACATTTCACCTTGTATGATGTATCCAATGAGAAATGCACATGTGAGTGGTCATCCCATTCCTGAGACTGGGAGTCTCTGAGCACCTCTACATCACTTTCACTGGCATATTCTTTCTCAGCATAATAGGTCTTTACACCATCTCTAATAATAATAAATCACAAATTATAGTAGATACTTAATGTCTATTAGTAATTTCAACTATGTAGTACACAAAATTAAAATAGTTTTGTTTATTACAATCACAAAAAAAAAAAACAAGATTCAATTTTTATATTTCAATTAATTTATAAAGATGACAATTTTAAATTTGTCAGTTTCTAATCTTAATATTACATGATATCATAAATTAGGAAGCCATTCTGAGAATCTTTTTTTAATTAAAGTATCCCTCCACCTCCCTGCCCCTTTCCCCCTTAATTTAACATGTCAAGTCAATTTAACAAGTCAATTTTTCATGAATAATTTTATAATTTTACCCCAATATTATTTATACCCTAATATATTAAAGCTAATATTAGAATACATGACAAAAATTGTATTAACTTAATGACCAATAGATAAATATAATTTCATAGATTCAATTATTATACCTAATTTATAGTTATATAAAGCACCCATTCGTACATATATAAGATACATAAATTATTTATTTACATTACTATAGAGATTATTCTGATATTCTGTGGGGTTGCCGGCAGAGTAATAGCACAATATTTTAATTCAGGGTATGCTCCATTTGAGTACCAAATTTTTTCAAATTTGCTCAACCAATTGTCCAAGATGTGAATAGTGTGTATAGTGATAGAGTGATAAGAAAAAAACAAGATATTATGCAAATACGTACACATACAAACAAGCTATCAGTATTTATTCAAAACTGTTTTGTTTATAAATGATTACCTATATAATTGTGTCAAGGTTATAAAACTAAGCCAAGGACGGTGGCATGTGCTAAACTTCTTTGATGTCCTAGAGCGAAAAGACTAATTTCTAGCTGTACTACTGGGCAAAAATGACAATTTTATATTTATCTACTTACTGTATATAAATTATTATTTTACTGAACAGTACCTTTGTGTATAAGATTGTAGCGGATTGATTAATTAAATACTAATTACTTACCTCAAAAATACTCTACTGCAGAGGCAATATACATAGTTGTCTTCAAATTCATCAGGATCATCATGAATTGTGAATTGAAACTCGGCAAGTGGTTCCCAACGATGGTAATGATCATAATACTCCGACATCATTACTGAGAATCGCAACGATACCTTCTTATCTATATAAAAAGGGGACTACAACTTGATAAACTTCCAAAATAACATACTTTTACACAAAAATGGAAGAAAATAATAAAATTCGACAATTCATACACGAACAATACGAGTTGCCGGAATTTAGATTCGCACTCAGTCTGGAATAGTTAGCATCAAATAAAAAATAAAATATACTTTATGGTCTACAAATAATAGCTATTAAATTCATTTTAGACCGTGTATGAAGCTTCAATACATTAAAAAATACTATTATAAACTGGCGATTAATTTTAGATTTAAAATAACTTGCGACAGATTGATGTGGATAATCATCATATCAGTCGTTATCTGTCCACTGCTGACCATAGACACCTTATAAACCTATAAACTGCTATAAGGAACTGTTAGACTTTGTAATATATCCTTAAATATATAAATAGCATGCCTTAAAGTATACCAAAGATTTCGAAATAATATACCAACTTACATATATGAAATTATGGTTACCTTTCAATTATTGGCAATTTTGATCGTTTACTTAAAAGCGATTACTGTCAATACTGCCTCTGTTGAGCGATTTCAGAATTAAATTTTCTTATATACACCTATCCCCCGATTTACACGGTACTTATTTTACACGTTTTCGCTTTTACACGGTTTTCCAAATAAGTTTTTTTTTTTGTTTTTATCGCATTCTACTAAATGCTACTGTGTTTGAACACGTGCGCTGTGTACACATCTCACGGGGAATCCCGAGCTTATGTGCTGACTTGCTGCACATGCACACTGTGTCTGTATTTTTTCACATAAAATTAAAGTTTTATCTACGGAAAATTGTATTTGAATTGACTAAATAATTGAATAAATAATTGACTGAAAGATTTAATTTTCCAGTTTAATGTATTGTAATTAAATAAAAAAACAGTGTTTCCGTAATATATTACATATTTTAACCTGTCAATGCATTTTATTTTTATTTCTGTGGACACCTAAAAATATTGAAAAAAATCACAACTGTTAAATAGCAAAATTATGCATTTTCTGCAAGCTTTTCGATTTACACGGTTTTGACTTGAAAATTTTTTATTTTTGATTTACACGTTTTTCTCAGGAACGTATCTACCGTGTAAATCGGGGGATAGGTGTATTAAATCTGTCTTTTGCTCTCTTTTACTTTCACCTAAATTAGATTACAATTGGACTGTACTATTCGCAGCTATTCGTGATATATAAAATCAACAAAATTCTTTACTTCTTTTTTAATATCCCGTCTCGTTTCTTGTTTGTGGGCATCTTAGAACAATCCGAAACCTTTCGGTGGCACAAGAAGCAACATTAGCCCTTTGTCAATTAAATAACATTTATCAAGTTGTCAAAATCAAATGACAACAATCTAAACTAAAAGTCAAAACCTCTAAATAATATCTATGTGTTTAACCAAAAAACATGCTGTTTTGAAAAAAAAATTGATTTACTTGATTTTTATCATACAATTTATTTTTTCTGCTCGTAACCCAAATTAAATTGTGATTTTGTTTTGTAGTTATTATGGGTAAAAAGAATAAGGATTCTCTTGGACGGTCTCTTATTAAAGATAGATTCTCGAAAAACCGTCACCGAAAGCATGTCGAAGATAACACAATGGTTAACAGCACTTTTTATTTGTAATTTATTAACTAAATGTGTAGTTGTAGAAATTTGCTCATAGGTACTTCAAAAACTAAATAAACTGATATAAACCAGTAATATAAACAAAGAATTGATTAAATAAATGTATGCAATTATTTAATCTTAAATATTTTTAAAACTTAAATATTTATGTAGTTTAGAATGGCAAACAGACATGATGTCACTTGATGTAAAGTGGTATTGATTGTATATAGTTGTGATAAGCACCATGATAACTATTACAGGCCACATTATGACTCCCATGATACCCCAAATGTAATTAAATTTCTGTACATTACAGTTACACACCACAGAAATCAATGATGGTTATGACTGGGGTAGGCTGAATCTCCAGTCAGTGACAGCAGAGTCTTCTTTGCAAGAGTTCTTGTCTACCGCAGAGCTTGCACAGCGAGAGTTCACTGCTGAGAAAATGAACTTGAAATATGTGAAGTCAGTGCCTAGTGAAGTGGGAGTGGCAACCTCACAACCAAATTTTGATAAACCATTAACTGTACCAAGAAGGTTTGTATAATTTTATTTTTAAACAATTTTTTTAATAGATAAATATGAAATGTTGCATCTGTGATATGATCTATATTTGCATGGTACCAGATGAGGTTGAAACAATAAGGATAAAGTCAGTACAGTTGGTTAATTTATAAGGATGTATCCTTACATTGATTTCCAAGGGAAAGACATGAAGATACATATAATTAGGTATATTGTTAGGAATCAGGATATTAGTTTGCATTACTAACAATAGGTTTTAAAGGTAATTCATTATTTACATTGTATTGCAAATCCATCATTGTTTTATGATGCCAATAACATATTTGTTGTTATAATACTTTTCAGACCACAATGGCAACCTGGGATAACAGCTGAAGAGCAAATAAATAGAGAGAGAGATTCATTCCTCAAATGGCGAAGACATCTTAATGAATTACAGGCTAAGCTTGGTGCAGCTCTTACACCCTATGAAAGAAACATTGAATTTTGGAAACAGCTTTGGAGAACTTTAGAGAAGGCAGACATTGTATTGATTCTTTTGGATGCTAGAAATCCTCTCTTATTTAGGTATTATGTCTAGTTTTAATTATTGTTAAAAATCACTAAAATTGTTTATTTTATTTCTCTAAAAATTGATTCACATTTGATATAGTAATGGACTTCTACATCATGTGATGTCAGTGATGACTATGATATAAATTATAAACACTATTTCATAATTATTTCAGCCTTTCTTATGAAGTAATGAGAGGTTTTTATTAAAATAAATTTCAAAATGGCAGTTATTTTTATGATTGATATGATATTATATAATTTGTATATAAAAATTTTGTAATCGTAAATATAAAACTAGTATAAATATATAATTCAAATACTTTTTCTAGGTGTGTAGATTTGGAAAAGTATGCATCTGAACAAAAATGCAAATGTATACTGCTGTTGAATAAGGCAGATTTAATAAGCGAATATGTGCGAAAGTGTTGGGCAGATTATTTCAATAAAGAGGTATTAATATTTAATTTATAGCATACAAAAATTATGATTTTTGTATTTATATTATATTCATATTTATATAAAAAATGCATAATAATTTGGAATATAATAGTAGTATCTGTTTATTTATTAATTTATTTTTTATTTCAGAATATACCCATTATGTTCTTTTCTGCTGCCAAAACCACTAAAGACAGGAAGTTATCTGAAAATGATGAAACAAAAGATACAGTTGAAAATTCTGATACAGAATCTGCTGATTCAGAAATAGATGAAGATTCAGATGTTGATTTAGAAGTAGAAGCATTAAAATCCACAGAAGAAGATATAGAATTATTTAAAAGGCAATTGAATGACTTAGATTTAGCTGTTTCCAATACAGCTAATAAAATAGATAGGATTCAAATTGCATTAGACAAAGTTGTTGAAAATCTAAGACTGGGAAGACCAGTAGAACCTTTCCACAATGATCAAATTGTAAATGTTAGTAATGGTTCGAGAGAATATATTTCAGAGGATGAAGATTCTATAAAAGTACAAAATTCTTTTGAAATTTATGATCGAGATAAATTAATTGAAGTTTTAAAAGGTCAGAAAATAGGAAACCTAAAAAATCCACCTAGGCTAACTGTAGGAATGATTGGTTATCCAAATGTAGGAAAATCTAGTACTGTCAATGTTTTAATGCAGACTAAGAAGGTAAGGTTTATTTATTCTGGCTATTTATAGATGTATTTTCAGTTGCTGAAGAATAAAGTAAAAAATTTTAACTATCTTGCAATATTAAAAAATGGTCCTTGTAACAAAACAAATTAAAGTTACTTCTATTTTAATATTTGCTGCAGAATTTTCTTTACTTTCATTATATTCATACATTCTCTCTTACAATACTTATCAATTTTGGGTTACTAATTTATAATTTAGAAAAAAAGTAAATTCTGTTATTTACAACTTCATTTTATTCTTTTCAAGCAACCTCCAATAACAGATAGTTACATCAACTTATTTACTCACCCACCACTGAGGCTTACCCACTTTAGTACACAACGTGTATGTTAGTTGAACAGTTTTGACGATTTTTTTGTTTTTTTTTTTTTTTATTCTTTTAATTTACTATATACATGTTAGTCTATAAAAAATATTTTTTTCTTTATAGGTGAGTGTGAGTGCAATGCCAGGTCACACGCGACATGTGCAGTCACTGATTCTGGATGAAGAGCTGGAAATTCTGGATTGCCCTGGTTTGGTGTTGCCAGCTTATGCTGTCGCGCCCGATCTGATGTTGACCGCTGTTCTATCTATTGATCAGGTTAGTCTTTGGATACAGACGAAAATGCCATTAAAGTTGCAGTCATTAGCTCATCTGATGGAATATGATACCTATTCTCTACAGACATGTATACATTTTATTTTATCATCTTATTTTATTTGTTCTTTTATTGGTCTCCCAGCAATTATTACACTAATACCATTTAATATTAAGATTACTATCTAGTTTATTGTATCCATATTTAAGGAATAAATATTTGCATGCACAATTTTAATTAAACAGATGCATTTTAATATTAAATGTCAAATGTCTGTTTAAAGCAAATAAATATTTCATTTCATTTCATTTAAATTTATGCATATAATAATAAATATTCTGTCTATATAATTCTTATATTAAATCTTTTTTACATTTAATTTGTGTCAGTAAAACACTCTAAAATTATTGTAATAAAATTAATGGGTAATGCCCCAAAGTTTTGAGCTTACTTTAACATGGGTTGCTGTGACCACTTATGACTAGTATAGCCACTTCTGTTGCACAATATATAATCTTGCTAACTTTTATCCGCGACTTCCTCCGCGTGACCGGGATATGACCGGGATATTCACTGACCAAGATAAAAAGGAGCATAAAGAGAATCTCCATCTCATATAGTACATATATACCACATTTCATAGTGATTGCTTTAAACTCACTTTCCATTGATAATATTATATTTTGTTTTTAGATGCGTTCTCACGACGCTGCAATGGCGCGCCTTTGTGAACTTGTGAGCAAACACACATTCGAAGTAAAATATGGTTTACTGTTACCAGACAGTGATGATAGCAAAATGAACTACAAGCAAATACTTACTGCACACGCGTGTATGTATTCATACAATTTTATGTTATTACATTGACTGACTGTCCACTGCTGAATAAAGGCCTTCCCCATTAAGGAGTTTTGCTACTATTTGCCACATTTGGCAGACGAGTTGGCATCCGCAGCTAGACTTTATTGATTATTTAAGAGGGATTATTTCTCGACCATTAAGTTCCCTTAGTTGCTTTTTACGACACCTACGGAAAAGGAAAAGGTGGTACGATCACCTATTTGAAATTATATCTCACACTATATCTATATCACAGTGTAATTATGGGATCAGAATGTGGAAAAGTGTGACAAACAAGCAGAACTGTAATAATCGGTTCAGAATTGGCGACAATCTATTTTTTTTTTATGATACTTAGATTGACAAACATCCAGAGGGAGACTGTACAAAAGTCATTTGCTTGGGAACCTCTGTCCCATTCGTGTTTCTACCGTTAAGCAGTTGTGTTTGCATGGCTGTGTTTCGCTTTGAAGGGTGAGATATTGCAATGAATTTACAGGGTACAGAGGAATAACATCTGAATCCTTAGGAATGGTAATGCATGGGGGGGTATCATGGGCAAAACTATTATGTCAATGATACTGCTCATGTCTATAGGCGACGGTTACCACTTTCCATCAGGTGTGCCATCAGCTTGATTTTTTGAATAAGATGTTAAAACGGTAAAATATATACTCGGATTTCTTTAGACAACCGAGGATTCATGACGGCGGCCGGCCAACCCGATCAGTCGCGCTCTGCCCGCTTGCTCCTCAAGGATGCGGCCAGCGGTCGCTTACGGTGGGAACAGTTACCACCTGGCTGTGAACCAGCACTGGATGACCTGATAGAACAGAAGAAAACAGAGAAAAGGAAGCCCACGCCACGGGAGGCGAGGATGGTGGAGGTGAGTCGATGGTTGTTGTGAGTTAATGGTTGTGGCTAGCTATCAAAGAGTACCAAAAATGTAATGAAGATAATTTCCTAGTTTCATATTTTCTTTGTAACGAGCTTGTGATTACTTAATTTATACGGTATCTTTTATTTTGTACCTTCTCATATCGGCGCCTTATATCGTCGTATTTATATACCAAATTTCAAAACCGCATTTAAAATAATCGTTCAGAAATATTGAAAATTATTAATTTGTTTAATAGATAATTCCGTCGTTGCCACACTTAAGCTTTGGTATGAACATTCTTTGAAATGTGGTTAAGCTACAAATATATATAAAATGCACTAATCTATTTTGTATATTTTAGGGTTGGTCGAACAAATCAGCTGAAATCGACAACGCTTTCTTTGCTATACAGAAAAGTACTGCACATGTGAAAGGGAAACCGATAATGGGGTAAGTATTCCGCGGCTGCGCCCGCGCGATACAGTATACAAAGTATTCTAAGTGCTAAGTTAGGAAATAATCTATCCGTATATCAAATTTAAATCAGTTCAGTGATTTTTGTGTGACAGAGTAGCAAATATCTATTTACCTTTCGATACAAACTTGCGCATTTACAATATTATAATAGAATTCATAATTGTAGATAAAATAACACAAAACCTCAACTCGTACCCTTTTTAACCGACTTCAAAAAGAAGGAGGTTTTCAATTTGGTTCTATTTTTTTAAGTTTGTTACGTCATACCACCGTCTAAACCGATTTGGAAAATTTTATTTTTACTTGAAAGGATATATTTACATTTTGATCCCATAATTTTTTTTTATCAAAATCGGTTCAGTTGTGTTTTTAGATCAAAATAACTGGTTTTGTCACAATTGAAATAGTTTTTTTTTTTTTTTTTGTGGGACACAATTTTTAATTATTATTTTATTATATTATTACCAGCTATATTTTGCGACTTGTACGAATTAGTATAATTACTATTTTTATTTAGAGTATTATTAATTCATGTATTTAATTTTATTTAAATCCCTTCATCCGTTTAAATATGATCAATTAGTTTTTCTCACATCTCAGAATGAATTACATTATCATTATTATAATAAGTGTAAATACTTTGTTTTTTAATATAGTACATTGTGGTATATTCTGAGGCAGCACTTTTTTTTATGCAACTTAGAATGGCAAACAAGCTGACGGTCCATTTGATGGAAAATGGTATATTTTGCCGTCGCCTATAATTACATGTTAATTTAGAGTACCATGGACATAACAGTATTTACTGTTTTTAAATCGCCCATGTTTAAATATGATCAAATATGTTGCCATTCCTGAATTACTCATTATTATATTATTCCTACTGTTTTTTAATATAGTAAATTTCGCCATATCCCATCCTTCAAATCCGATTTAACAATAGATCATGCAAACACAATTTTATGGACCATTATAAACCAAATGCAAATATTTTTGTCTTAAATCTATTGAAAATTTGATTCATATCAGTCTTTAATATAAAATTTCACAGTGATATAAATTTAAAATTTCAATTTTAGAGATGAGAGTAATGGGCATCTTAAAATCAACCCCATTGACATGTTATTTTACTAATCCAATTAAAAATGAAACTTCTTGATGTTTTTATTCACAATTTTCGGATACCACACCAATGAAATCATTTTAAAAATATCGAAATATTAAACAATATCGCCCTACAAAAATAGTTACTTACATAAATTCGTCTGCGTGAACTTAATGTCCAAAAGATAGTACTTCCTGTATTATTATTATATAGACTACATGTAAAGCAAATATTGCGTCATATTTTATTTTACAGTATCATCTATACTTATAAAACCGTTTGTCCTTACCGATCGTTAACACACAGCCACTCTACTACTCAGTCTAGAAAGCTGAAATTTAAAATAGATTTATTTTATAATGTAAGCATCCGCTAAGAAAATTTCAACATAAGGAACACGACACCACGCGTGCAAAGTCGCGGGCAATAGCTAGTATAAGAGAAAAAAACTTTTCCAATTATAAAATCACAATATATTTGTCTAGAATGCATATTCAACTTTGGAAGTACACGAAAAAATGAGTGTCACTAATTTTCTATTTTTAAATTCAGTCTAAAATTAAAAAAAAAGGAAAATAGCTGACCAGTCTTTTAAAAAAACTGTTTTTTTTTTATTTAAACTAGCTTTCGTTATACGTGTCAGTATTTTATATATGTGTATATTAAGTAGGTATAATATGTGAAATGTATTACTTTTCTATGGAAACCTAAATAATGTAGACCTTTAACGACGGCGGCATTTACTTAACCTGTCCAGTTCCGAGATAGTATAAACGCAAACAAATATATGGAACTTATAACGACTGAAGATGAAAGACATATCACCGTATATTATCAATTAGAGTTAAGGGAAACCTAAATAAACTCTCCGAAGACGAAATGGGCAGCCTGGATCCGCGCCAAGTGTTAATTCATAAAGTTTCTTTACGAGCCGACCGGGGGTTAACGATCGTGAAAATTGGTCTAAAACTGCGTGATATGACCCGCTGCATGTGCCACCAGCCGTCGAGTCTTGAAACTGGAATGTTGATTATAATATCTATAAATTTGTCATCTTTTGGAAGATATATTATTATAAAAATTCCTAGAAAAAAAAATATATAAAATGAAACTTGTTGTAATGAATTTTACACAAAAATATTTAATATATATATATAGAAAAATACTTGTACTCTTCGCCGTTTAGGGAATTTTGAATAGTTAATTTTACACTAGTTTAATTATGTGTAATGACAGCTGGAAATAATAAATAAATAAATAAATAAAATACATTCGAAGTGCAAATTAAAATATATTTATTTTTCGGATCCATTCTATTAACAATACACTTAAAATTACATTTATTATAAATACAGTACATAAGACGTCTCATTAATACAAATATAACAAATCATTAATTGAATAAATCATATATTTGGCCTATATTACAAGTATGCGATATTATAATTTCACGAATCCAAAATAACATGGCATCCATGCACCGTTCGATTTTTAAATAAAGCTACTGTCATCTATGTTGTCATACAGCTAATTTAGGGAAATTAATCTTGTCTAATTTAAAATTCCAAGCAAGTTTCATGCATGATAAATGGGACTAGTTTCGTTACAGAATTTCGGTATAATATATTACAAAAGATAAACTTTAACATACAATGGTTAAAATATAATATATTTTATACCACAAAGATGGCAAACTAGCACACAACCCGTCTAATGGTAAACGATCATTGTTGCCTATGGACGCTTGCAACACTAGGGGTGTCACGTGCGCGTTGCCGGCGCTGAAGAAATCTGAATATACCTTTTTTGAGGATGAATTTCCTAACGATGGCGAGCGGTGCGTTAATAAAAGGTAGCTAAAGGTAGGTTCTGACTGTAGGCATCATTTCAAACAATTCCTCTGCACACAATCCGTTAATGAGTGTCTAAAAAAATATTTCAAACCTTTTAAAATAAGCATGGGTACACTTAATCTTTAGGACTACCATGAAAAAATTAAAACTGGATCTTTTGGAGTATTTTATGGTAGGATCTATGACCAACGAAATGCTAAGTTTTATTGACAAGGCTAATTTAAACTTTGAAATTTCATTTTATGATAGAAAACTTTCTTATAACTTCACGATCATTATTAACTGAATGATTGACCTGTTATTCGGTGTGACTCGTGCTTTTAATTAGCTATAACAATATGGTTCTCATTAATATATTGAAATAAATATAAATGAGATCTATTACAATGTGGACCCGGCATAGAATGGGCCATCTCTTACTTTACCGTGGGCCGTGGGTGTCGTAAGAGACGACTAAAGGAACTTAATGGCCGAAGGATGGGCAGCAGCGTCCTTTTTAAAACATCACCAAAGCCTAACTGCGGTTGCCAACCCGTCTGCCAAGCGTGCCAACTACAGGAAAAACTCCCCCTTATCAGGTAGGCCTATGTGCAGCACTGGACAGCTAAAAACTGATGGGATTGGGATGGGAATGGGACCAATAGCAATTAAGGTTTATTGTCGTTATAATAGACTAATTAACCCGACTTTATCCTCAGCTATTATCCTTGGCTTGTACCTCGTCAGCGTATACATACCAATAACGCAAGCGGGGTTACCATTTCATGTCCCATAAAAATAAAGATTGATAATGTGGCATTGAAACGATGCCCCTGCAGCTATATTTAGAAGTCTATAACAACGAAATTACTCACTCGCTGACTAATCAAGAAATCTCATAAAATATAACTTGGTAGGTAGATTATTATGAGGACCATAGACGTGCACAAAGAATAAATTTAAAAGAAAAAAAAAATAATCAGTTAAATAAATTTAATCATCTTTGTACCTTCTTGTGTAGATATGTCTCATATAAGAAAATTTAGAACGACTGACAAAAAACGGGGCTTGTGATTTTTTGAGAATTAAAAAAAAAGTAAATATGTTGTCACTGTAGAATATTCTATGTGACATTCGGTTTTTGTTTGTGGTAATAATAGCACAGTTAAATGAATTTTGTACGCCATATTAGTGGATTGTATGTTAGACTAGTGGAGAGTGTGAATAGTATTTAAATACTATGGACCATCTTTTTTATCACTTGTCAAACAAAATTAAGTTATTTGTATTAAAAAAAATAATATAAACTTTCAATTTTTTTAATAGAAACAGTAATCGGAGTCTCAACACGACTTCCCGTTCACGAATATGGCTACAGTGCTATCCGTCATTACGTTCAAACATTTAAAAAAAACTCGTCTAACCTTCCATAATAAATATCTAAATCCTATATGTTGTTTTGAAAAAGTAAGCGGAGGTACAGTCAGATACGCACAGCGACTTTTTTTTTTCTAGTATTTAGAGTAAAGATTTTATTATCTTTATGTTTCAATTATAAATAAGTATTTGCCAATATTTTATATAATATTGTACAAATAAATAAATGGTATTAAAATTGTTTTAGAATCTATTATATTTCTGATATCTTTATTAGAAATATAATAGATTCCCTAAACAAACAAAATAAAAAAAATGAAGAAAAACAAATGAAGTACATACATACATACATTTCTGTCACGCCTGTCTCCCATTAGGGTAGGCAGAAACAATGGAACGCCAAATGCTTCGATTCAAACAAACCTCTTTCGCTTCTTCCACATTCATCAATCTTTTCATACACGCTCGCCGGTTACTACTTTTAATTTGGCTCTTCTTATATATATATATATGTATATGTATATGTATATATTTAATGCACGGGATTAAATATGTTCAGGCATTTGGAAGTTAAGGTGAAACAAACTCAGATACATGAACCCTAAAAAACTATTTCCTTATATGAGCAGTCCTGTGAAAAATTTTTTCTTCTATATATTTCTTCTGTTTACCAGCACTTATTTTTTTAAATACTCCTACATTTTTATGACAGGGATTAAAGCGATTGTTAGAAATGGGGAGAAGCGGCCCCATTGCTGGCAATACGCCCTGTCAGGTTGATCTCCACGCGGTTGTCCCTGCAAACCATCGTGATTTATTTTTAATGTATTCGTCACGATGGATTAGCTCATTTACTTTCACTCTACTTATCATTCCTTACTGGTGCCCCGTCAGCGTATACCGATAGCGCAAGCATTCATTTTGTAATCATTAATAAAAAAGAAATCTGTTTGTAACGACTGTTTGGTTTCAGTATTGGTGTTGGCGCACAACAGGCAGGTCAGACGGGGAAACCTTGGAAAGCAGAAAAGAAACACGCAAACAAAAACAAGAGAGAAAAACTCAGAAGAGTTTACGCACATTTAGATGAACACTGATGTGAGAGATACATATTGTAAATTGCCTAGTTAGAGAGAGATGGAGAATATGTATGTAATATGTTTTGATAAGTACAGTTATTAAAATGAAAGGAACTGTTATTTTAAGTTTTATTTAATTTCAAAAGAACATAACCTGTATTTTGCGGTTTTGAGTGACTTCAAAAAGAAAGAAATTCTCAATTCGTCGGATTAATTTTGTGTAGCTATGTTACGATTGTTTCATTAATTTTTAACCATTCCCATAATTCTCTACAATCGATAAAGTTTACTCCCTTGAAGATCCCATATTAATTTAGTGACAATCGAACCCGTCGTTTTCGTAATTACAAAACATTTTTTTTTATTAATGTCACAAAATTCCGCGTTCTAAATTCAAATATTTCCAGTATGAGAAACTCGTTAGCTTTGAAAAAAAATGTGAATATTTATAATTGTATTTATGCTTAAAATTTAAGATGAAGGAAGCTATTATTAATTATTGATAGAATAAAATTAATTGAAAATGAGCGACGAAACAAATAGCAATGTTAAAGAAATAAGGGAGTTATATTCGTGTGTTTCACCAAGAGTATATTATAATGGCAAAATATGGGATTTTATACGGAAAACTTACAAGGCTTTTAAGTCATACAGTCATATGAAAACTCCTTCGTTTTTTTTTATACCAAAAAAACCAGAGGTTTTAGTCTGATCCAGTACGATCCTCTTATATATGACACTGGCAGAAATGGTAGTAAAAATGAAATAAAAATGAATGCCATTGAAGAAAAGAAGAACTCATTGTTTGTCGGCGTGTGATATGTTTAAGATTGAAGACGTCTTGTTGCGGAGTAAAATTGACAATGTAGAACAAATTATGTAATACAATTGATCCTGGCTGCGTATAAGGTCTTTGTTAATTATATAGTTTATAAAATTTATTTCGGCTACCATACAGACGAAGTCGCGGCAACAGCTAGTCCTAATTATAATTGCAAAAATCTAAACACGTATTGGGATAAGTATGTTAGGAATTCTTATAACGTAATGTTGGTCCAAATCCCATGATTTACAGCTCAGTTGCTAATTTAAGATAAGTGGTTGATTTTATGTTCCGAACTGGTATAAGTCGGCAACGTTAACGTCGATATTCAGGCTCGGGACAATATTTATCACCGGCGGTAAATATCTGTTTAAACCATAGACTTAGAATACTCTCACTAATGTTTTAAAAATATATTCTATGTCAAAAAAAAAAAAACTAGAATTCTTTGCCTATTCTTGGCAAAGATGCTTATTTTGAAATTCCAAAAGTCACAATATAAAAGTGCTTATAAACAGAAAATATAGTAAATTTATAACTAATTTAAGATTAAAAAAATTCATACTTCTTACTATTTAATGTAATAAAATTGCAAGTAAACGATGTCTGTACATCCGAAAATATGTCAATAGATGCCAAAACTATATTTTTTTAGAAATATTGTTTGTCTGTATGTTTGTTCTGGTATCACGCAAAAACTACTGCTACTAGATTTGTTTTATTACAGTTGTGTTCCTGAATGACTAAAATCTGCTGTATGTATCATTTGATACGCTATTTCTAGATGGAGTACAAAGGAGATACGCCGAATTTAAGTAAAAAACTAGTATATAATAACTATAGTCTTGACACAATTAGTATAGTAATAGAATATGTACTAGGTTTAGTATTAAAACGTCTAGCTTAGAATTAATAAATATAAAAATATTAGCCTTTACCCGCGACTTCACCCGCGGCTCCAGAATATTTTACTGACCTGGATAAAAAGTACCAGAGTGCAGTTGTGTTTGCATGGCTGTGTTTCGGTTTGAAGGATGGGATATGGCGTGAATTTATTGGGTACGGAGGAATAACACCCGAGTCCTCAGGAATGGCAACGCATGGGGGGTAATCGTGGGCTTAACAGTATACTCTGTTATGTCCATGGTACTGCTCATGTCTATAGGCGACCGTTACCACTTTCCATTAGGTGGGTCGTTAGCTTGTTTGCCATTCTGAGTTGTATAAAAAAAAATCCTTCTCTATCCCATATAACATGTGTATACCAGATTTTATAGTGTATTATAAGGAAGCAAATAAACTCATTATCATATTTATAATATTATTAAGGATAGTGTATTTAATACTAAACAAAAAAGTATATTTCAAAATTTAAACAAGCAAAATTTTATAGAATCTTCACTTTTTTTAAGTCTGTTGAGAACATCATAATATTTTTAGGTGGTAATTATTCGGTTTACAGATAAAAAAATGTAAGCCATAATTCTTTATTTTCACTAGTTTATAAATATTTTAGTGATGCTGTTTCGGCGGTGTGCCACATACATAACTAGATCAAATAAATCCGACGGAAGTTCAAGTGGCTTCATTTATATTCAGCCGCGAAGTTTAACGTGTTATAGCCCAACAATTATTAATGTAATCAATAATTATTTATTTATTTATATACATATTTTTGGTGAGTTTTACAGTATTTACCAATGCACTCACTAAAAATAAAAAAATCCAACATTATAATAATACAATATTGAATATAATAATAAAATAAAAAGCTAATTATGTTATATAAAATAAGTATTAAAAATGCATTTCTGCATAATTTGTTACCGCTCTGCGAAACTCTGTGGCAGTACAGTGAAATACGTCCAGATTGGAACTCGCTACTACCTTATTGAGCAGACGTAGCGCCCTCGTGAGTGGCGCCTGATCAGCATGAAATGTCCTGTTGCGTGTTAGGGCAAATATTCCGTGGTTACGGTCACGCTTGTTGATGTCTGGGACAGATATGCTTATGAGATTCAACACAAACGCATTGTACTTTATTCCTTTAAGTATACTGTAGAAGTATTCTAGCAGAGAAACAAGTCGCCTTACCTCTAGGGAATTATATCCTACCAACACCCAATTATGAAATCGTTTGTCGTGACTTTTAACTATGTTAAAGTCTAGAAAGTAAAAATTTGGGGCATAGGTTTATTTCATAACGTAAGAATAATTTTAAATTAAAGGGGAAATCAGTAACACGCGTGTAAAACCGTGGCCAATACATATATTAATATAGTCATCATCATATCAGCTTTTAACTGTCCACTGCTGAACATAAGCCTCCTCCAAAGGGGGTTGCCAGTAGTTGCCACGCTTGGCAGGCGAATTGGTAACCGCAGACTTTGGAAATGTTTTAACAGGGATGCTGCTGCTCATTCCCTGACTATTAAATTCCCTTAGTTGCCTTATAAGACTATTTACCATTAGATGGGCTGTATACCTATACCTTTATGATTTAAAAAATATAATAAAAATTGTTAAAGTATAGTTTATTGTGAACTGAATATAGCAACCCTAACTTTGTTCATGGTATGAAAAATAAAAATACTGGTGTCTCTATGACGTAATTAAAAAGGTTGTTTTGTTTTTTTTTATTTTATCTTATCTATCGTTGGCTGATTAAAGTTAATAATCTATTTAGTTGACTTGTGTATGTATTAAGAATAATAATAACAAAAATAAAAAAAGCAAATGTCATAAAATTCTTAATTACTAATTATAAAAGAGTTGCCGTCGTTGTTTAAAGAGTTGCAGCCGTATCATCTCGTAGTAAGTTCTCATAAAGGAGACCTTTTCACTTTGCTGTTGACGTACCAATAAATTATCAGCAGCAAAGCGGAAAAAGACAATTTTATGAAGAACTTTCGCTTCTTTCTTCTATTTGTCTTCTTTTTTTTTCATGTCACAGTCGTCTTCTTGCTTGTGCATGTAATTCTTGATCTTCATTCATACTCCATTCACATTATTATTAAACTGTTACTGCAAATAAAAATAAAATTATATTAGTAACTAATTTTATCTTGCGCCTGTGCTTGCTTGAATCGCTATATAGAAGAAGAGAAGCTAGTTAAGTAAAAACAATCATGTCTTATGGAGAGGTAATGTAGCTATGTTTATAACTTGCTTTAAGTATCTTATATGTTAAGGTCCCGCGATTGATCATAATTTCACCAGATGGAAAACGACGATGTGGTATAAGATGTGAAAACGGTAATGGTAGAAGAGAAGGGCAGCGACAATAATGAAATAATATTAAGAGAGGCTTACCAGTATATTTTCTTTAGACAATCACAATCTAACAATATAACAATAATAATATGTCAATCAAAAAGAAAAACAAAATAAGTATCAAAAGACATATTCATAATATAAAAATATAAATCTAAAAAAGGTAAAGTTGTATGAAAGGAGGTCTGTCGCCAACATGGCACGCCTCGGTGCAGAGCACCAATCTAAGGAGGCGACAAAAGCAATAGCACTCATCGTTGTTGGATAGTCCGTCGACTGAAGCCGTTCGCCCTCACACCGATGCAGATTTGTACCGTAACCTCAACGACAAGAGGCAACTCCGACTGACCGAGATTTTATGGGCCTGAAAATCTCTCCAATGCCCATTTCTAGAAAGTCCAGGTTACTCAAGACCCATCAGAAAAGTAGTGCCATTGCTTTTGTCGCCTCCTTAGATTGGTGCTCTGCACCGGGGCGTGCCATGTTGGCGACAGACCTCCTTTCATACTACTTTACCTTTTTTAGAATTATATTTTTATATTATGAATATGTCTTTTGATACTTTTGTTTTTCTACTTGAGTGACATATTATTATTGTTGTTGTTAGATTGTGATTGTCATAAGAAATTATACTGGTAAGCCTCTCTTAATATTATTTATTATTGTCGCTGCCCTCCTCTCCTACCAGCGCCGTTTTCAAAATGAAACATTCTAGCTTGTGGCTTCTCAGGGTCCATTGGGACGTCCGTAAATGGACGTGTATTTATTAGGACCTCTGCTTCGAATCGTGGAATTGGGTGCACTTCTTCCTTTAATGCTTTATGTAGCAGAGTTATAGAAAAAGCGTTCTTAATCAATCTGAACAGAAATTCCCAGGAGCCACTCATTGATGGTGCTGTTAGACAAATGGACCGCCACTCAATCTTATTGGCTATAAAAACGAAGACCAAAGCAAATTGGTTTGCTGCACCGACAAAAACCGTTAACCGTTTCGGAGACAATCTTCGACGAATCTTCGATAAAT